CTTTCTCTCCAGTTTCATCGAAAGACTCTTTTAGGACAATCATGGCTCTTGTAGCACATTATGATTTGGAGCTTCATCAAATGGATGTCAAGACGGTGTTTCTTAATGGCAACATTGATGAGACGATTTATATGGTGCAACCAGAAAATTTTGTGCAGGGAGATTCAAAGAGTATGGTTTGCAAACTGACAAAATCCATTTATGGACTAAAACAAGCATCTCGTCAATGGTACTATAAATTTCATCAAGTAATTCTCTCATTTGGCTTCGAGATGAATATTGTTGATGATTGTGTATATCACAAGTTTAAGGGGAGTAAGTATATTTTCCTGATCTTGTATGTTGATAATATTCTACTTGCCACTAATGATATAGGCATATTGCACAAAACCAAGAAATTTTTATCAAAGAATTTCGAAATGAAAGATCTTGGTGATGCGTCTTTTGTATTAGGAATTCAGATACACCGAGATCGATGTCGGGGTATTTTAGGATTATCACAAAGGAACTATATCGAAAAAATTCTTAAAAGGTTTGGCATGCATGAATGTAAATCCGGGGATACTCCAGTTGCTAAGGGAGACAAGTTTAGTCTCAATCAGTGCCCAAAGGAAAATTTGGAAATTGAGGAAATGGAAAAGATTCCCTATGCATCAGCTGTAGGGAGTTTAATGTATGCCCAAGTATGTACGCGTCCAGACATAGCATACATAGTTGGGGTTCTAGGCAGATATTTAAGCAATCCAGGAATGGACCATTGGAAAGCAGCAAAAAGGGTCATGAGATATTTAAAGAGAACAAAAGATTACATGCTCACATACAGAAGGTCAGACCAGTTGGAGATCGCTGGGTTTTCTGACTCGGACTTTGCAGGATGTCAAGATAGTTTGAAATTCACTTCAGGTTACATTTTCATGTTAGTAGGTGGTGCGGTTTCTTGGCGCAGTGTCAAGCAAACCCTTACAGCTTCATCCACTATGGCAGTAGAATTTGTAGCATGCTATGAGGCCTCGAATCACGGAATATGGCTGAGAAATTTTGTCACAGGGCTGCAAATTGTGAAAGGTATTGAAAGACCACTTAAGTTATATTGTGACAACAAATCAGCCGTATTGTATTCCAACAACAACAGAAGTTCGACTAAGTCAAAACATATTGACATTAAGTTCCTAGTTGTTAAGGAAAGAGTACAGAGTGAACAGATTTCCATAGAACATTTATGGACAAACTCCATGATAGCAGATCCTCTAACTAAAGGACTTCCGCCCAAGGTCTTTCATGAGCATGTTGCTCACATGGGTGTTTTACAGTTTGAGGAATTTGTGGTTTAGTGGGAGTTAGTCATTTTCATATATTTTATGTTCTATGTTTAATTTAATATATGTATACATTGTTTTTGGACATATTTGGTTATCTATAGATATGCGGTTTTTTTGTTCATTCATTACACTTTGTACATTAAGGTTACTATATCGATATCGATAAGTTAAAGTTTGGACCAGTTGAAAATAGACGTGTACAAGTCACATTCACGTAATTTTTCATGTTACACATTTTATGATGAATCCATGTCATTTGGTTATGTCAGGATGAGTAATCATTGTTGGTTTTAGTTGCGATGATGCAATGAAAAGCTGGTTTTGTTCTATATCCTGATATGATTAATGGACATGACTTTTGGAATATGCTAAAGGAATATGCTAAAGGAATATAATGACAATTTTGAGCTCATAAAGTCTAACACATTTGTAAGGTTGTAAAGACATATATACTTGTGACCAGTGGGAGATTGTTGGCAAATTTTGGGTCATGTATATATATGAAACATATTTAAATGTGTTAGGGTCATTATTTATTATGCCAAATAATAAAGTGATCTGAATAAATTAAAGTTTTGACTAAAGGCATATGTCATGAAAATATGATTGTGTAGAGACCATAGAGTAATTTCTAATTTGATGAGTGACCAAATTGAAAATACTAAAACTTAAGTAATTAACCTAATTTTGGTTATTTAAAGGGTCATGGTCCCCTTCTGAGAGCACACAGACAGAACGAAGTTACAGTCTCGTTCCTTTCTTTCTATCCCATCAAGAAAGAAAATCAAGAGGGAAATACATGTACTCTTCAGGTGGAAGACCTTAAGATCAAATCAAAAGTGCTCTACAAAGAATATCGTCATTATGGCCAATTCAGGTATGCTTTCGCATTTAGTTTATAACATGTTTATAATATGGGATTATAGATATATGTTTGATCATTAGAATGAATATCATATTCAATTACAGTTTAACCTAACAAAACTTCTTGGTTAAAACAGTTAGTTAAGTTAATATTATTTTATTTTTATAAAATCAATAACTGTATTTTCTAAACTCTTCTTAATAATTTCTAATAAAGATGGTGCTCAGAATTAAAGATAAGATTATTTTTAAAATACAGTAACATTAAATTAGTTTTACTTATATTTTAATTCAATAAACTTGATTTCTTTATTTGTACTTTAAATCCAACTGTTTTGTTTAGGGGTGTTTATCTGTTGTGTGGATTCTTTTTTGGAAAAAAAAAAACCCTTTTATAGTCCATCAAATTCCGAGAATATAAAAAGTGTTGGAACTTAAAAATTGTCACAAAAAAATGTATCAATTTTTTTAGTTTATCACTTATTTGAACACCTCTGATATTTGACAAAAAATTTGGATAGTTCTTCTTGCATCCTATATTTCTTATCTTATATCTCTTTTACATAAAATAAATCTAAATCTTCAATATAAAATAATGAAGTTTTTTTTTTGTCATGGTTGTGTATGTTACTTTACCTTCCGAGAACAGGTTTCACCCTAAATCCTATTTTGTTAATTGATTAAGTCGGTATTATACTGATTTTATATATCCCCATTAATTTTTGAAATCATGTTATTATAGTACTCTATTCTTCAGGTCCAGACTCATTAAAAATACGATCGAAACCAATTTAAATTAATAAAAAAAAAATTAAAATTAGATTTAGACGGATTTTTCACTCATTTGAATTATGTAAAATATTTTTATATTTTAGGTTGAAGAGTTACTTTCTGAACCATACATTATATTTTAGAACGAGTATTTCGTATGAGTTCAAATCAAATTATATGTAATGTTGTTATTTGGATAAAATTATCTAATACGTGCATTTAAACATAAAAAAAAAAAAAAACAAAGTAGTGAAGTAGATAATTTCTTTTCAAATTAAAGATTTAAGTTAAGTATAAATGCACAAGAAAAAGTCTTATCTTAAATAATAGTTTTAATTTTTTTATTAAAAAATCGTTTTATATACTTTAATTTTGTGTTTTTTAACTGAAGTTATACTTAGATACAAGGGCGGATTTAAGGTAGGCTTGTATAGGGTCACGTCCCTACCAAAATTTTATTAATTTTTTATATAAAATTATTATTTTAAAAATAAATAAAAATTATTTTATAAATATAAATAAAAAATAATTTTTATTTTTTATATTCTTATAATAAATATCATAATTTTTTCTTTTACACAATTTTTTATTTATATTTTTTTCTCTTTTTTTATTCTATTTTTAAATTTTTTTACCTTTTCATTTATCCACCTCAACTCTCTTTTTTAATCTTGCACTCATTTTATTTTTATATATTTTTCTTTACCACTGGATCACTTTCATAATTCTTTTCTTTAATTGTTTCACCTTACAATATAAAATTTCAAAGATTTTTTTTCATTAGTTTTAATTTTTTTTTCTTCTATTTACATTAAAGACATAAGAAAATAAATTAAAAAAATTAAAGAAGATATCTTATAATAATTATTTTGAAGTAACAAAAAGAAAGAATTAAATTTAATTTTTTTTGTTTATTATTATAACAAATTATCCGGTGTAGTATAAAAATATAAAATATTGATGTACATAAATTAGTTAGTTATTTTAATATTTTATAATGTTTTATTTTTGTGTTAAAATATGAAAAAAAAAAGATTGAGTTTTAAAGATGTTGAAAAATAAGATTATAGACTATTTTTAAAGAGAAAAAAGATAATAGATGATGAAATAAAACTTAATTAATAATGTTGAACACATTCATCAAATTTTTATATGATAATTAATTATTATATATTTTTTCTCACGTAAATTCGTAGTTCCACCTAGGTATATTTTTAGAAAAGTACAATTTTTTTATAAAACTATTAGCGAATTATTCATATACAATTAAAAAAATAATTAAAAATGAAAAAATATTTGATTTTATCTATAAAATAATTTATAAGGTGAAATTTGTAAGTTGATTATATTTTTAGTTTATATAAATCTTTTACACACCCTCGTTTAGAAATTAAAAAATGTCTAATTTCTTACAAGATTGATTTATAAAATAAGATTTTACATCTCAATTGCATATTATAAATTGGTGATATTTCTAATTAATATATGAGATATTGAATAATATATATCTTATTTGTATTATTATAATGTCGGTTGATACTCTAATTGTGAGTGAAATATTAAATTGAATAAAAATAAAAAAGTGAATAATTTAAAATCAAGAAAAACTTATAATTTTATATTTTAAGATGTTAAGGTAAACATAATATTATTTTTTTTATAGGGTTGATTCGTGTCCATTAATAAGGAATCACTTATCAAATACTCAATAATATTTGAAAAAGAAATCAAACTAATAAAATTAAAAATGAAAAAAATATTATGACTTAGGATTTGGCTGATAAAAATTTGGTGACACGACTTTCTGCACACAGCTGATTTCTTTAGAATTTGCAGTTTGCAGAGGAAATTGCAGTCACCAACCTCTATTGATTTAGCTAAAGAAGACTATTATTATAGTTGTTAGTGTAGAAAGTTGGGTTAAACTTGAACATGTTATTTCCCATTCAACTATACTAGGCCACTGCAGCAGAGGCACTCTAGCAATATGCTCTTCAAGTCCACAATACATCGGTTTCAAAGGAATATGGTGCTGATGGGATCAATTCAATTGACAATATCTGACTCATCATGTTGTTGTACTAACTGGAAACGATTAACCCGTTTTCTGTTATCAGCTGGTTTCTCATTTGCTGCTTCAATCTGTTCCAATCTTTCAACAACTTCTTTCATTGATGGCCTCACTTTGGGTTCTGTTTGGATGCATCTGAGAGCTAGATGAGCTACCTGTAAAGCTAAGTTGGTTGGATACTTGCCTTCCAACTTTGCATCCATTGTGCTTCTTATTTTCCCTCTATTTAGTAGATTTGATTTAAGCCAATCCGTCAAGGACTTCTGCTTGCACAAGCGACTTATATCAAACATTTTCTTCCCTGTCAGCATCTCCATCAAAACAATTCCAAATCCATACACGTCACTTTTCACTTTCAAACGACCTACACGATAAACATAAGAAGACTTAGTATCTTGTCACGTTTCCAGTAGAGGTTTATGAAAGGTTTAAGAGAAAATTGTTGATATTACCTGTTGCCATGTATTCAGGAGCAGCGTAGCCTCCTGTTCCCATAACCCGTGTTGTTACGTGAGTCTGATCATGCGAAGTAAAAGATTTGGCTAAGCCAAAGTCTGATAACTTTGCCGTATATGTCTGTCACAAAAGCAAAAATTAGGAAGACTTTATCTTTCACCACCATGAATTCTTCAACAGTATGGAAGCACTACGTTGAGAAACGAAGAAAAGTTACTCAAACAAATCTAGTTAAAATTAACCTCGTCAAGGAGTATATTTGAGGGTTTAAAATCTCTATGTACAATTTTCATTTCCATGGAATGAAGGAAGTTCAGTCCCGTAGCTGCTCCAATCATAACCTTTAGCCTTGTATCCCAAGAAAGTGGCCGAACATTTGCACCTCCTGCACGCAGAAGAGAAATTATGCGCATAAATCAGAGAAAATGACAAATCAATTCCCCAAAATTAGTATGCATGCTGCTACCACCAGTAGCATATCTTACTTCCAAATAGGTGGTTATCCAAGCTGCCACGATGCATGAATTCATACACCAGGAACAGCTCACTATCCTCTCGCCGAAATCCCAATAACTTAACTAGGTTGGGATGAGAAAGCCTCCCTAAGAAATTCACCTCTGACTGCACAAAGAAGATAATCAACAAAAGGTTTAGTCCTAATTTCAGAATGATATTAATGACAATACCTGCCATTCCGCAAATCCTTGTAAGCTTCCAGGATTCCATTTCTTGATGGCAATAGTCAATTCCTCACCTCTAATCAAACCCTTGTATACTGTACCAAACCCCCCCTCTCCTATCACACTGCAAGCTCTGAAACATTTGGTCGCTGCCCTCAATTCTGCCAAAGTAAATACTCTGTAGTTTGGAGCATCCAAGATCTGACCAAGAGGAAACTTCTCTCCATGTCCAACTCGAGAGGCTTGGCTAGTCTCAGAGCCCCATAATGATGTGCTAGTGTTATTTCCTGATGTGTGATTGTTGCTACTACTTGGCCCAAACAGACTACTGGTTCCTCCAATTTGACTGCTACGCCCAAGAGAATTAGAATTGTCATTCTGTATTAATCTCGTGTTGCTAAGTCCAGCAGAGAACTGAATACTCCCTGATACATCGTCTCAGAAAGACAAACTTTGTTATGGAAAGTAACAAAAAACGATGCTCTTAACTTTTAAATACGAATTGACAGGATCAAATGTTTCATAAACTATTGGTAATACCAAGGAATATCTGGCATGTTTTAAATTAGACGGCATGCGAGAATTGGGGATTCCCTGGTGATGGTCTTACCTATAATTTGCAATTGTTCTACTATGAAATTCAGGTTGACTTGTAGAGTTGTTTAAAAAACTGATAACAAGTGTATGCACCTATGTTTGCAATTAGAAATTAAAACAAAAAAACAGAACCATAAGGCAAAAACATGTCGTATTTGAGATCATATATATGAATGTGTTTGACATGACATTCTGCGGATGAATAATAAAAGTGTTATTAACATGTTGGCTTACCTAAATGGTTGTTCGCCATGGGGACGGTATTAGGGTTGGGATGATCAGCGCCACGAGAACCTGATGGAAGACTCCAACAGTTCCCCATTGACTTGTTTGTGCTCTTTCCTTGGCACAAAATCAGAGAAAGAAAAAGAGAGAAATGTATCCAAAAAGCAGTTGTTACTTGTCCTTTGAAGAGGAATAGACGTCACGGTAAGAGACCACTAACAATGTGGTGGGAACAAAGGAAGCCTCCAAGAATGCATCATGTAAATGCAATGATTTTGCTAATCATGTCATGTTGGGCAGGGAGAAATTTTCGATGTATGTCACTTCTTTCATTATTATTATTATTTTTTTTATTATTATTGTAAGACTATTTTTTAAGATAATTATTTTCTTTATAAATTATTTATTAACATATTTTTTCAAAACATATCATAATTCAATTTTTATTAATTTATTATATTTTGCATAGTTTTTTATCAAAATATACGTTCATATATTCATAGTTTATATTTTTATTTTTTGAGGAAGGTAACCTGAAATGGGTTAAATTGATAGAAATAAAAGTTTAAATTTATATTAAACTTTATATAAAGTTGAGTTTCTTTTTTTTTCAAAATTTTAAGTTTGTTTGTGTAGTTTCTTTGCGAATAAATTATAAATTTTGAATTAATCAAATTAACTTTTGTGGAAATCTAATTAAACTAAATTAAAAACGACATAAACTAAGAAATAAATACAAATTAACGCAACTTCAACTCAAATCATGAAAGAATATGAATTACTCTAATCAATTTCAAAAAAATTTCATTGTACAATAATCTAGTATTACAAATTTTTAATTGAGAAAACATTTAATTTTATTATAATTAATTTTTAACTTATTTTCTCTTTGTTAATTCATTATAAATAGAAACATTACGAGAGCATAAGAACGTAATCTTCCTCTTTAAAGTGAGAACCAATGTTTTGTCTCTCCCCATTCTTTTCAATTTTATTTTCATTCCTATTTTGTTTTAGTTTAGTTTTTAATTCCACGAGCTTAATTAAATATACAACTCTTTTTTGTTTGTTCTCTATTGTTATTTAATTTTCCATGTTTATTAATTTTTTCAGTTTTATATTATTGAATTTATTTTATTCATTCTACCCTCAATTTAATTTCTATTATCCATTTGTTTATCAATTTTATTTAATTTCAATATTCAATTTGTTTCATTTTTTAAATTAAAATATAATTTTATTCACACATTTACATTCACATGTAGATTTAATTTTTGGAACCATTGTTTATTTTACTGTTTGAATTTCTGTTACTTAATTCCGCGTGCAATTCTCAACTTAATTTTATGTTTATCTTTTAAAAAAAAAATTTAATGTCTACATTATTGTATTTTAAAGTAATTTTTTATTCAGAATTTTATTTAGTCAAATTTCAAATTTAATTTAAAGTACTTTATTTTATTTTTATAAAATCTAATTATTTTAACTGTATCATTATTCTATTATAAATTAATTTTAATTCTTGTTATTTTGTTTTAATTTATTTTTTTCTATTTCCTTTTATTATCATAATATCTTATTTATTATTTTTAGAGAGAAAGATATTTGATAATTCTTTATCAAATTTGATATGGATTATCAATATTATATTAGTTTAATAATTTATTAATTTTTTTATAAGCATTTGATGCAATCCTTCAAGAAACAAGATTTTCTTCCATACACTTTTATTTCCAAACAAATATAAATTGAATGGATGAAAATTTCCTATTATGGCATTAACATTATAGTCATGAATAAGCTTCTAAATAAGTACTGCATAGTATAATGTTGAACATCGAAACGTGAGACACTTTGATACACCATATATAGTGAAACTCATTTTATTTGGAGATGAAATTTTATAAAACTACCAAAATTTAGATACCATAAAATGGGATATTGAAGAGCAATTCAACGTGAAACCAGTAAACAACTTAATTGGGAACATTTTTCCACTAAAGCCCCAGACAAAGATAATTTTACATTTCGCAGTAGTATGCTTAGTTAGCATTCGTCTTGGTCAACTATCCAAGCAATAAAAAAAATAAAATGAAAGACTTTGAATAAGATTTTAGTTGTGAAATAAGTGAATTTTGATTAACTTTTCATTATTTTTTAGTTTTGTAAAATTAAAAACTATCACTTTTATATCTAGTATTACATAACATATTATATATATATATATATATATATATATATATATATATATATATATATATTACTATAATGATGTAATATAACATCGACGTATATGATCTAAACAAAATAATTCTTAACATAAATATTAGAGATTATTTTTATTTATTTTGTTGATTTGGATTATAAAATGGAAAAAATGAAAGAAATTTTTTTATTTCATCTATTTTTTTAAATAAAATTAAAATCATATTCTATTAAGAAATAATAAAAATATTTTCGCCTATTTCACTTTTATTTTATTTCATAATACTACATTTTGATCGTTTTTATAAGAAATCTCGAAGAGTTTTAAATTTGTCTCTGAAGAAAATAAAATGGACAATACCTTTTATATGAAGGGTTATTTTTGCAACAAGTATATGTCGCGTTCAACGAAAAATATTATTTTATATATATATATATATATATATATATATATATATATATATATATATATATATATATATATATGTGTGTATATATGAACTTTAGACCTTAATAAAGAGATAACATGAGAAAAAAAAGGTTAGAATGAGAATATTAAATTCAATGTGTTACCATATAATTCAAGATAAGAAATTTTGTGCCATTGAGAAGATAAAGAAAAAAAAAAGATTTCAGATAGATCAGGAAAAATAAAAGGTTAATTGAAGTAGAAAAATGATACTTTGACAACCCAAATCCATACAACTCCTATAAATAACTCTCTTTTAATATTATAATAATAATTTTACTTTATTTTTATTTTTATTCAATCATTTTATAAATTATTATATTAATAAAAGTGAGTTATTTAAAAGGTTGTATGATTTTTGAAGTCCTAGGGTAGTGCAGTGAATAAAAAATATCACAAAATGACCAAAAAAGAACATTAAACGAAATTATTAAAATAGATTTCACTGTCAATTATGTTGAGAATTTAATTTTTGACCAAATCTAACAACTTTATATAATAATCCGTAGTGCGCCTTATCTATTCAACTTTATGAACATCTAAACCATGTAAGAAATTGAAATAATTACATAAAGAATAAATATTCAACATTCATGGATTGATACAACACAAACTGCAAGAACAATTAAGTGGACCACGCCACCTGGTTTCTTATCAAAATAGCAGTGAAGTTTGAAGTCTCTTTCTCCTACTTTTGGGGTGCACGAAATGCTGAGTCTCACAGGCGTGGCCAAAGACATTCCATGATCCTTTTACTTTGAGTGTATGGTGAAGTACACAACATCAACTCCACCAGACCACTGGAGCAAAGGCACTTTTTCTAGCAATATCATCTTCCAGTCCTCAATCCATGAGTTGCAAGAACGTACGGGAATGCATCTTGATTATATTGATTTTAGAGTTTAAATAATATATTATTAATAAATAATAAATAAATAAAAAAAAAGATAAAATGGTAAAATGATACCATTGTAGATATATACTTAAATATATTAAATGATCGTTAAGTTTAAAAGAAAAAAAATCATAAATTATATGAAAATTACAATACTTAAATATATTAAATGATCATAAATTATATGAAAATTACAAAACTAAGGAAGAAGTAAGAAGATAAAATTATAAATATACAAGTAAACTTTGTAGACTATGCAAGAAGGTGTTGGTGGGTTGAATTCAATCAACTACCATCTGGACGGCCATGTTGTTGAACAACTCGAGAACTATTAACCCGCTTTCTGTTATCAGCTGGTTTATCATTTGCTGCTTCAATCTGTTCCAATCTTTCAACAACTTCTTTCATTGATGGCCTCACTTTGGGTTCTGTTTGGATGCATTTGAGAGCTAGTTGAGCTATTTGTAAAGCTAAGTTGGATGGATATTTCCCTTCCAACTTTGCATCCATATTGCTTCTTATAATCCCTCTATTTAGAAGATTTCTTCTCATCCAATCCCTCAAGGACGTTTTCTCACACAGGTGTTTTATATCACTAATCCTCTTCCCAGTCAGCAACTCCACCAGAAAAATTCCAAATCCATACACATCACTTTTCACGTACAAATGACCTACCGATTGACATGATGAGACCATTTAGTGTCATGCCACGTTTACACTAGAGGTTTATGAAGGGAAATTAAGACAATTTTTTGTTGATAATACCTTTTGCAACGTACTCAGGAGCAGCATAGCCGTGTGTTCCCACAACGTTTGTTGATACGTGACTCTGATCAGGTGATGTAACAGATTTGGCTAAGCCAAAGTCTGATAACCGAGGCGTATATGTCTGTCAGAGAAGCAAAAATTAGTAAGATTTTTCTGGCATAAACAATAATACTCTAATAGCACGCATGCTCCAATTTTGAGAAATGAATTTTAGATGAGCAAAATGTGATCGTGGGGATTCAATGCCCCAACAATAAAATGAAATTTACCAGGTCAAGTAGTATATTTGAGGGTTTAAAATCTCTATATATAATTGGATTCTCCAAGGAGTGAAGGAAATGCAGCCCCCTAGCTGCTCCAATCATAATTCTTAGCCTTGTGTCCCAAGAAAGTGGCCGAACATTTGCTCCTCCTGCAGAAGCAAAATAAAGTGCATAGATGGGTTAAAAGGACCAATCAATTTTCCCAAATTGGTACACATGATGGATGGAAAGATCTTATTATTTTTGTGGGTGTCATCAACAGCATCAGCACTTACTTCCAAATAGGTGGTTATCCATGCTGCCACGAGGCATAAATTCATACACCAGAAAAAGTTCGCTATCCTGTCGCCCAAATCCCAACAACTTAACGAGGTTGGGATGAGAAAGCCTCCCTAAGAAAGTAAGCTCTGACTGCACAAAGAAAGAGCATCAACATCAATATAAATATGAAATGTTGGCCACATACCAATAAAATGTGTTACCCTAATTTTGAAGTGTTAATAATTCCGATACCTTCCACTCCACAATTCCTTGCTTGCTTCCAGAATTCAACTTCTTGATGGCAATGGTCAACCCCTCACCTCTAATCAAACCTTTGTATACTTTACCGAATCCCCCCTCTCCTATCACAGTGTCATCTTTGAAATTTTTGGTAGCTGCCTTCAATTCTGCCACGGTAAATTCTCTCAAGTCTACAACATCCAAGATCTGGCCCCTCTCATCTTCATCCCTCACTCCAGAGGCTTGGCTATTCTCAGTGCCCCAAAAGGATGTGCTAGTGTTATTGCCTGTTGAATAGGTATTACTACTACTTGGTCCAAAGAACCTGCCGATTCCTCCAGAGTGGCTGCTATGCCCAAGAGAAGTAGAATTACCATTCTGTATTAATCTTTTGTTGCTGAGACCAACGGAAAACTGAAAACTCCCTGAAACAATGAAACAAGAAAGCAAAAAATTTGTTATTCCAATTTTAAACCCGAATTGACAGGATCAAACACTTCATGATGAGTTATTGCTAATACCAAGTGTCTTCTATGTTTCAAATTACATGGCTTGTAGGAATTGGCGATAGATTGGCTGCAAGTTCAGGTTGACTTTTATGCTTGACTCGATGAATTGTCTTTAATAATGATGAAATGGCTATGCACTTACACTAGCAACCAAAGCAATAACAAGAAAACCAAACCATCAAAAGGACAAACGCATATTTTTTCTACTTTCTTGGAATATTTGATATTATATGCATGAACAAACTCATATTTTTAGCATGAAGCCGTTCGATAATTTTAAGAATCAAACACGAAAAGTGTTGTTGACATGTTGGTCTACCTGATTGATTGTTGGGGTTGGCGGCAGTGCTGCGGTTGCGGTGATCGACCGGAGAACGTGATTGAACACTCCAGCAGATCCCCATTGAGTTGTTTCTGCTGTTACCTCAGCAGAAAAGCACAAAATGAGAAAGAAATTTTGAGAGGCGTGTCTGACTTTGTTTTATAGTGACATGAGTGAAAGTATTACTTGCTACGTGTTCTTTGAAGAGCACTTGCTGCTCCAGTAACAGTTGTACTTTAGTCCTTGTACGTGTTGGAAACAAAGGAAGGAAGGTTCTAAGAAAATGCAGTGAAAATAATCATGTGAATTGAATATTCATTTTTTGGTGTTGGCCAATTAAATCGGTCGCTTGTTCACTACAATTCTCAGCATGGCCGTGAATATTAGAGAGGAGAATTTGACAAGAAGTTCACAAAAAATGAATGAAATTAATATTTTGCAAACAAAATGGTATTTGAGTTGCATTACCTCACACCTTAAGCCAGTTTGTCAAAAAGATTTGCCGTGATAACTTTTGCTTTTATCTTCTTATTACGACACCAATCTTCTAGATAAACTGAATTCCAATGACATGCTATGAGCAATCAATTATGAGTAATCATATATTCTTTTACTATATGTCTTAAAAACATTACAATGATTTATAAAAAAAAAAGTGTTAAGGCACTGTAATTCTATGAATTAAAAAAAAGAATTCTAATAATAATGATAACTTCACTTTTAACTAAATCAATTTTATAAATTAGCAAAACTAAAAATTTATGGACAACCATCACAACACACAAAGCTGCGCAACTTTTCCTGTATAATTAACTTTTGTATGATGTTAAAATAAAATACAAATTGATAACTAGTTTATACATAAACTTCTATCTCTAACCAGATTTAACGGAATTCAGTTTCTATACCATATTAAATAATTCAAAATTATCAGTTTCTAAATAATGTGTACCTCCATCATATAAGGTACAAAATAATATCACAATTCTTTTTTGAGAAGGTAAGATTTAGTTGCATCAACACAACATAACATGTATAAAATATAATGGAAATCTTCTTTTAACCGAATCAATTAAAATACAATTCTTTTCAAACCGAGCCAAAAAAAATCATCGAACCAAATGAAGCTGTTTCAATTGATCAGTGCATTGTGCTCCAAAATTCTAACTGAACTAACTTTTGACTACTGAACCTAACCAACGGTGCAATAGTAGAAAGAATCCGTGTGGACAAAGCTCGATAAAACAACCGATGACCATGAGATACGAATGGGCTTTGCAAGTGTTGAACTTGGTATTGCGAAGCTTTGATTTGGGTTTAGGGTTCGCAGTGGAAAAGATGGCTAGAAGAAAGAAGACGATTACCATTGATAACAGAAAATGAAGTCCAACTTGAACTCGGAGTTCGAAACGGAGTTCTCTGACTTGAACTCGTGAACGATATAGTTCCAAACGAAGTAATAAAAATAGACTCAATTACTAAACGGCTGAAAAATATCCGAATTTTAACTCGATTCAATGTGGTTCATGATTCAGTTTGATTCACTAATACTTGAACTCTAGTCTTGAGTGTTCCAAGGACACAAATTAAGAAATGAATAAGTAAAATGTTTTAATTAAAAAGAAACAGCATGAAACTATGGTAAAAACTCATTTATAACACTTCCTCAGAAAGACTTCTTCGCTTCTTTTAATCAAGTGTCAACATTCTGTAAATTAATTATCTGCGGGTCCGGAAAATAAAATTTACATCAAGGGAAAAGTTATATTGGAAGTTATTTCCTTTAACCAGTGAAACAGAACTACGCTATGTTACACGGATTACAAGAATAACCATGACAAATACACATGTCATCACAAACATCACAAGCCATGTTAAGCAAGAACTCTTGGAACTCTGAGCGTAGATTGCCTTTGCTCGCACATTGGCACGACCGGTGCTCGCCAAGCTATGCTCAATAGCCTTCTCGGTAGAATCAAGTATCTGCAAGCCAGCCACAATCAATTCATTAGGTTAACACGTCGTTATTTCAAACTCCCAATTTGAGACACTCGTCAATTTAAAAACAAGGTTATGAGCCATGACTATCGAATCAACATTATAACATGCCCTCGGTTGATGTAAAAGTAATATTACATCACCGCTATAGCCATATGCCGCAATACGAAAAATATATCTAAGACGAACTTTCAAGAAGATGAAAAACTAGATTAATGTAATAATAACACGATCATACAAAGAATACTCAATCCAAATAATCGGACTGCCTTCCATTTTACATATATTCATATCGGGGCATTTAAAACACCAGAGTATATGGATTGCTGCATCTGTATTGTAACTCGCTCCTATCAAGATCACCTTAGAAGAGATATATTTTAATTGTAAAATAATAAGATAAAACTTCAATGGAGATAAAAGAAGATTTGCTTGTAAGAAACTCTGTCCTGGATGACAACTGCATTGACTACAACACCACTGTCACAAGGTAAGGTATTCACAAATAATCCCCTTCCTTCACTGTCACCATTCACTATGATACATTTAGTTAGCATCACCATCTCATGCAACCGTTTAGCAGTTAGACATGCGGTTGAATGAAAATACGAGAATCAAACCTTTTCATTATTTTGAAGGGACTGGCTCATCATGAGACTACTCTCTTTGAGTTGTTTCGCCAACACCACCATCTCATCAGTCAAATCTTCTTGAAGCATTCTAGAGTATTAAAGTGGACAAAATAAAATAATTGAGTGCAGAAAAATACGTAACGCACAATAAATACAAAGCTTATAGAGAGTGAGCATAAATGACTATAAAATTTATGATCTAATACATATTGCATACATAATTTTACAGCAATTGTCTATGGTATCATAATTATAGTGATTCAGAAACATGCTGAGGACTGTCAATGATGACCAAATAAATTCCCAAATATAAATGACCTAGTAGTCCACCATATTAAGCCGGTAACATATGGTAACTGGTAACCAGTCACTAACTATGTAACAATTGACATTAATATGCAGTGCTTGACCTGAAGAAAAATATACTTTGCTGTTGCGGACACGTTAACATATATGAACACAAGGTTTGTAAGTTATGGACTCATCATCAAAGCAGTACTGAGTCTATTGACCCACCATTACATAAACTTTAAATAACAACTCAAGTAAAGCAGTACCTGTGCTTTTCAATGAGTGCACGTGTAGCAGCATCCAGTTTGACAGGTGATGATGTATTGTCAGTCTCAGCAAGCTCGTGTGCTCTATCTTCGGTACTTGACACGGGTCTGTCCAATGAATCAGATGAGCAACAGTAAAAAAGCCTACAAAATGTATTAGTAAGAAAGGCTAACTATAGCTTACACAGGCCTTCTTCTCAATCCAGAAGAAAGGGGTATCTGTTCTTTTTCCTCAATTTCAGAAGAGTTTTCTTGTGTGTCATCAGTCTGGGTTAAAAAAACTGTGGTTAAATTATTGTGCCTATTTGGCTAAAACTAAAAATACATGACAAGGAAAAACCAAAAAGGAACAATTTTTTTATGGCTTCATGATGCATTGGAACAAAGTGACAAAAATTCAAGCCATTAAATGTTAATATTTTATATAGCAATTTTCAAATGCTATAGTGAACTTATTATAACCCGCTATGGTTGCCTAGTAGCGAGGGTGTAGATATGCATGAGATCTTAGGTTACCTCATTATTATGATTGATTGTATTACAAACAAATAGTGAATGTACTATGATCTTCTCCATTGTGTAATAAATCCTAAAAGGATAATTATATATGTGGGAAAAAAGAGGATGGAGTTAAAAAATTAAAATGATTTTGAACAAATGTTATGATCAAAAGTGAAAATGCCTTATGAGCCCCCAAGAAGAACTGCTGAGCAATAGAAACTAGAGAAGGTGAACAAATATGCAAGGGTTAATTCACTTTATTGAATCTCACAGAAAAAATAAAAATAAAAAACTTCCTCCAAGGCTTTCACCTTCAACAAAGGGTTTTCCGTGCTACAACTAAGTATGTTTGGTTCTCCAATACCATCAAGTTATGATCCAAAGTAAATATGCAATATTGCCAAAAGTGCTGAGAAATGGAGAGAAACTAGAGAAAGTGAACAAATATTCAAAGGTTTATTCACTTTATAGAATTTAACAGGACAAAAAAACTTCATCCAAGGCGTTCCACCTTCAACGAAGGGTTTTTCTTGCTACTGCTGAGCTAGTGCTTGGTTCTCCAATAACAAATTCAGAATACCTCTCTTCTGCCTTTTTTCCCTGTTTATGTTAAGCCCTGCAACTATCCCGTATTGCTTGTCTAACCACCAAGCAGTTTTATATTTTCATCTAACATCCACCTCTAAATTTTAAATTTGAGTTGCCTACTTGTGAATAAAAGGCTTTAGTGAATCTATTTTTTCTATCTATGTAAGCCAACTGCACCAAGTATATCATAATTTCTATTCCTCACAAGCATTATTGCTAAAATTTAGTCAACCTTACTTTAATTTTAAATTTTAATACACCATATCAGAATAATAGACATAGAAATGACATGTTATATTCAAATAATTTTCTTGCATAACTTTCTTTAATTTCAAAAGTATTATCTCTTCAATACATTCTTATCTAACAATATATAATCCTCATTATTGAGGATGAAGATATCTTCTATTATACTTTATTTTTTAACTAAAAATGTTATTATACCAAAATAAACTAGCTAGTATTTTTGTTATATCAAGCAAGTGTAAAGTTGGTGTCCATAATAAAATGTCCATCAGACTGACCACTATCTACTTACTTAACTTTAACCAAGCAGATCCTTACCCTTAAGTTTGTAGGATTGGCATACTTTTAGACAACAGATTAAGCACAATTTTTTTATTTTTACTTTTTATAAAGTGTATAATTTAAATTTTATATATTGTATCACCATAAAAACAAATATTGATGACCCAAACTTATAACAATTTTGGTGGCTATTACACTATAAGCACATGTCTGAATATACATTTTACATTGTGGAGACAGAATCATAGGGGATACAACAGTAATGTTTCGAACCAAGTATTAGTTTATTTAGTTATTGATGAAAATGCGGGAATTCTTTGTTTGACTTAAAAAACTGTTCTTATTCTAGCTCATCCTTTCAATTTTCTCCTTTTTCTTTAAAAAAACTGTTATTATTCTACCTTAATGAAATATTAGTCATTTCACCAGTTCCTGTAAAAAATTTAAATCCATAAATTCCACCCATAAAATTTACAAGATACGATTATGTAAACAGACCTTAACTGTTTAGTCATTTGGTTTAAAGATCTTTTTCATACTATATTATCTCTAAAGGTTACATTAATTCACAAATACATACCACATGGTTAACCAAATTGGATGCAATGGCTTCAACCTTCTCTGAGTAATCATTCAATGTAGCCTTCGAAATCCTGCATAACCAGAGTAGAGCTTATATACAGACAAATGAATCCACACACATGCGGTAGACATACACCAAAAAAGTTGGGGAATATAATAACATTAATTTATTTATAAGTTACAAAAACAAAGAAAATGGACTATGCAGGGGAGGAAGAAGATGAAAAAAATAATAATAATCAACTAAATTAGTTTTTAGAGAATATAATATAATAATTTATGTGCAAATATTGAACTGAGTTAGTTTTCAGCATGTGACAGTTGGCTGTAACTGTTTCTGTTCTTTGTAGAGCAAGCTACATGTAAATGAAATGAGAAATAAAATTTTATTGTGTCAGTTCTCTTTATACAATTACAGTCTCAATTTTCATTCAATTTTTGTGTTCTCTTTATTCTCTGCTACACTCAATTTTCCTTAAGTAACATTGTTACATTTGGTGCTTTCATTCTATTAGCAACTAAAAAATATGGCCGGAAATACCCTGAATGAAAGAGATGTCAAATGACATACAACAATTGAATCAGACTGTATCATCCTTAGAGAAGAGAGATTTGGAGCATTCTGTGCAATTACAGAGAATAGTGTTTGACAACATGAAAAAACCAAAAACTCTGCCCCCTCTCTATCTATCCAAGGGATGGAAGGGGCAGAGGCCTTTGGTGTCCCCTCCAGTCAAGAATTAGGGTCTCAATGAATAGCAAATATGTTTGTTTTTATCTCATGCCTTTCTTCGTTCACGGTTCAATATTCTGATGTCCTAGGCGTAGAGGAACCACACCATTCCATCCCGAACTTGGTTAAACTCTACTGCAGTGACGATACTATAGGGGAGGTCCTGTGCCACACTTGATGAGCTGAAGGAATTAATCAGAGAGGGAACTCCATCCAAGAGTGTTGAATATGCTCACTGGGATAAACAACCATGTCAAGTAAGGAATGTAAAAATAGAATTTCCTAAATTTAATGGTTCCGAAGTTCTTCAATTTAAGGCAGAACAATTTTTTAATTTCTATGATACTCTTCACGATCAGAGAATTACTATAGTTGTTATCCATTTGGAAAAGGAAGTAGTTCCATGGTTTCAAATGCTCACTAGAACAAAACCATTTCAAACATGGAAATCATTTACTAAAGCTCTAGAACAAGAGTTTGGACCTTCTCCATTTGATTGTCCTAGATGCACCCTTTATAAACTCAGCCAACAAAATGCAGTAAATGACTACTATATGAAATTTATGTCCTTGGCTAATAGAGTATATGATGTGAGCTATGATGCATTGTTGGATTGCTTCATTAGTGGTTTAAAATTAGATATTAAATGAGATGTCAACCAAAAGTCCCTTAACCCTACTGAAAGCTATTGCACTTACTAAGTTGTACGATGAAAAATATGCCCACAAACCAAAACCACCTTACAAACCAACCCCTATATCCTTCTAACAATTATCCTAAAATTCACAGTTCTCAGCCACCTCTTCTACCAAGACCACCAATCAAACCAAATTATCCACCACAACAACACGACCCTGTCAAATAATGACCCCAACAAAAATGAAAATAAAAAGAGAAAAAGGGCTATGCTACTCTTGTGATGAGATGTTCACTCCACAACGCAGATGTCCTAATACACATTTCATGATACTGCAACTTAATGAGAAGCCTGATCTGACAGACAGTTCTGCAATAACCAAAAATGAAGAAACATCAGCTTTGGCATCTGAATTGGACCACCACCTATTAAAAGGGATAAGTGGATTGGGCACCATAAAATTTCATGGAAAAATCAAAGGCCACACAGTGAAAATCCTACTTAATAGTGGCAGTTCAGACAATTTTCTGCAGCCAAGAATAGCCTAATTTCTGAAACTGACAGTTGAGCCAGATCCTAGATTCCAAGTTATGGTTGGAAATGGAAATTCCTTGGCTGCAGAAGGCATAGTACCAGCATCTCGGTTGAAGTACAAGGTTAAAAATTGCAACTGCCAGTTTATTTGTAGCTAGTAGCAGGTGCTGATTTGATATGGAGCAGCGAGGCTATCAACATGAGGCCCTCATATAGCATACTATAATGCCTTCAGTCCAAATTTCTGCTCAATGGGCAATATGTCACAATTCATGGCGATAAACCACAATTGCCTCAACAAGATCACATCAAGAGATTACAACAAACAAATGCTATAGCAAAACTGTTCACTGTGCAACTACAACCACCTAATTGCAAGGAAGATAAATTCCTAGAAATTCCATATGATTTAGACCCTGAATGAATATTGTTACTACATTCTTACAAAGGGGTTTTTAATAAACCTAAAGGACTACCTCCTAAAAGGGCACAAGATCATGCAATTCCACTGATTGAAGGGCCACAAAACAGTGATTGAGACTATGGTGCAAAAAATGCTGCAGGAAGGAATAATTCAACTCATTCATAACCCTTTTTCATTTCCTGCACTGCTAGTCAAGAAGGAGGATGGGACTTGGAATTTCTGTACTGATTACAGGGCACTCAATCACAATCAAAGACAGCTTTCCTATGCCATTTGTGGATGAACTAATTGATGAACTTTCGGATGCTCAGTTCTTTTCAAAGTTAGATCTGAGGCTTGGATACCACCAAATTCTTGTCACACTAGAGGATAAGCACAAGACAACTTTTAGAACACATTAGGATCATTATGATTGTCTGGTGATGCTATTTGTCTGAACAATTTCCTCTGCATCTTTCCAACAATTGATGAATCAAATTTTTCAGGATTTATTGCAAAAAAGTGTTTCGGTATTCTTTGATGACATCTTGGTCTATAGCCCTTCATGGTCCAAACATATACATGACTTAGAACCAATACTAAAGATACCACACGACCATATTCTCTATGTAAAGCTGTCTAAATGCACATTTGAAACACAACAGCTGTATTGAAATGGCTAGAACCCATAAATATCAAACAATTGAGAGAATTTTGGGTATCACTAGATATTATAGAAGGTTCATCAAGATTATGTTGTTATTACTGAACTTCTAACCATCCTATTGAAGAAAGATGCTTTTGACTAGTCAGCCAAAGCCATTGATGCTTTCAAATTGCTGAAAACTGCAGTCACTACTGCACCAGTGCTAGCCCTCATTGATTTCAACAAACCATTCACATTAGAGACTGATGCATCAGGAACTAGAATTGGTGTTGTGCTAAGCCAAACACCCCATTGCTTTCTTTTCCAAAAAGCTAGCTCCTAGAATGCAAAAACAATCTTCTCACTACAGAGAATTTTATGCTATCACTAAGTCCTTGGCCAAATTTAGACACTATCTGTTGGGGCACCAATTGTTGATTAAAATTGATCAGAAAAGCTGTGAAATCTTCCTGATCAAACAATCCAAATACCTAAGCAACAAAATTGGCTTCATAAATTTCTTAGCTATGATTTCAAAATTGAAAACAATCTAGGAAGAAAGAACATTTCTGCTGATGCATTATCTAGAATTAGATAGAGAGGGAAGTATCAATTTTCACTTTGCAAAAAAACTGACGAATGGCAGCAGCAGACAGCTATAAACGGAGGTCGGAAGGTCACTGGAAGGTGGTCGAAAAGTTGTTGGACGGCAGCAAAAAAGTGATCGGACGGGAGGTCGGACGGTTGCTCGGAAAGTAATTGGAAAGTGGCCGAAAAAATGATCGGACGGTGGCCGGAAAGACAGAGCAGGACCAATCTACTCTAAATACCAAGTTAAGAGAGTAAAGAGAGTTAAAAGAAGATTTATAATTTAGTGAGATGCTTACCTCCACTCTATGATCTCATATATATATATATATATATAGGATTACAACATTTAAAAAAACAACCACCAACTACTAACCACTACCTAATGATAATTCTAACAGTTACCATGGATTTCATCACAAGATTACCTTTGTCAAAGGGGTACACTATCATAATGGTGGTAGTTGACAAACTTTCAAAATATGGTCATTTCCATCCCTCAAGAATTAATTATACAAGTTTGCAAGTAGTTGAAGCTTTCATGCACAATATAATGAAGCTACATGGCATACTCAAAACAATTGTCACTGACAAAGACAAGGTTTTCACTAGCAAATTCTAGCAGCACCTATTCAAATTACAAGGAACAACATTGGCCATGAGTTCAGCATATCATCCTCAAAGAGATGGACAAACTGAGGAACTCAATAAGTGTTTAGAGATGTATTTAAGATCCTTCACCAATCAGGAAACCAACACATGCTACCTTGGGCATAATACTGGTATAACATCTCCTTTCATCATAGTTTAAATATTATCCTAAGGAGAAGGAAAATCACACTATTCAAGAGCTATTGAAGAATCGAGATGCCTTGCTAGCCAAGCTTAAAGCAAATCTACATCTGGCTCAACAGAATATGAAGACTCAGGCCAATAAGAGGAGACAAGAGTTTCAATGTCAGGTTGGTCAGAAAGTCTGAGTGAAATTGAAACCATATAGACAGGATTCTAGGGATGTGATTTAGAAATAAACATCACATATAATTCCATGACAGCTATGAGTATGGTAAATAAAAAGACACACAATACCTTGGTAAGCCCTCCGATGTCCTTTCTTCAGCCAATTGTTCCAATTGTTCACGTAAAGTAGCAACATACTGCAGGATGCCAGAGTCAACACATGATTAAGTTAGTGTATTCCAGAGTTAATAAATGACTAAATTAATCAAATATATAAGTCAAGAAAATTAGAAATAGATTTTAGACATAATGCTGTTAACTCTAAAATTAATAATCAAAACATATATACAGACTTACATGCGCAAGTTTTGCCTGGCTTTGCTGCTGAGGCGCAGCTGCAAGCAACCTCCTTAAGTTTACTTCTGTTTTACTGATTCCCATACCTATAGTGGTCATTAATTATACAAATTATTATAAAAACATCATTGGGCAAAGAAACAAAGGTAATTATGTATCACACTGAAAACAAGCTTGTCCGGTCAAGCTACCCAAATTAAACACAATCAAACACCCTAAATATCAATGAAACCATTTAAACTAGTTTTAAGATGAGAAATAAGCTTTGCTACCAAGCATGGGTATATTGGGGCATCTTTTTGCAACAGTAAACTATACCTTTTCAAAATGCAGATATTAATAAATCAATCAATACCAATTTCTAGGGATATATAAATTGTAATAAAAAATTTATTTAAAAACATAGAATGCAACTCTTTCACCTCAGTATATTCTTAAGTCAGATGAAACTATTACTACACTTTGTGGTTGTTGACAAAGCTAAAAGTAGAGATGACGGAATTTCGAAGGTTTGAACTGAAATAACCAAAGGACCCTAGACCGATTAAAACTACAACATTCTGTTTGAACAATGACCAAAGTTTCTTTTAGATTAAGAGTGAAACAAAAGGGAAAGGACAAAGAAGGAAGAAAGATAATTGCCCATCAGTCAGTCATCAAAGGCATGTAAGAAATCCTTTACTAAAATACCCAACAGACAGATTTGAACAATTTTGTTTTGATTTCATAGGACAAACTGAAATTCAAACCCTTAAACATTTCAACCATAAGTCTTGTTTCAAGATTCACATCAAACTAGAAATGAAACTAGTCAGCATGATATCAATCCATGAAACTACAGTTAACACTCACATCACGCATAATATACAATCCGTGAAGGAGCACAAACACTCACAAAATGAGAGAGGTTGCTTATCTTTTGTAGAGAGAGAAAAAGTGAGATGGGTTGCAATCTGTTCAGAGACTAGTGAAGATTTTAAAGGCTGGAGGGGGACAGATACGCCTGTGTTCGTAGGTATACTGTGAGGTATGACCTGACTTTTGTAAACAAGGCAAAACATCCTATATCACACAATGTTAGATAAAATAAAGCAAAAACCTGCTAATTGGAAAACCATGACGGCTTGCATTTTCAAAATGCGTCACACGCATAAAGGATTGCACCCGTACACCAACAAACATAGAGTTCACATAATCACGAAGTTCACATAATCGTTGACCTAATATGATCGAGATTCAGCTCCTAACTAAAACCACTAAGTAAACTATAGAAGACGTCAGTAACGATTCGATACCTGAAATTTTTAGAGCTTCTGAATCAATTCGGAAACCGAAGCCCCTACAAGCAGCAACTAATACAGAATCCAAAAAATACAAGAGGTTCTATTATGTTACAGATGCGAGTAAATACAAAAGGCAGAAGACAAAGTCACGAGCAATGGAGGTCAGAAGACGGTGACGGTAGAAAGAATGACTGAGATTCTTTAATCTAAACCCGGTGAAGAGGTAGTATTAGGTTTTCTAAAGGTGGCTTCCCAGAGAGTTTAATTCTAGACATGCACATTTGTTAATAACATTTTTTTTAACTTATTATCATTATAATTTTATAAAATACAATTTATGGTCATTATAGTTTTTTATTTAATAATTAATATCATTATAATTACAATCATTATAGTAATAATAATGCACATATATTAATTTCTTTTAATACAAATTTTGCTTTATTTCCAAATTAAATAATTTTCTCACAATTAAAAATACCATCTTTATTTTTATTTTACTATTTTTAATATTGTGAAAATAAAAAAACATTTTTAATGATTTTCCCTGTTCAAAATATGATTCATGAAATAAAATGAGATAAACATTTATAATTATCAATAAAATATTCAGGTCAACGACCAAGTTTGTATAAAAAAATCCTATTTTTATAAAAAAAATGTTTAATATAATAAAAATCAAGAGATTAAAAAACAATTTTGAAATTAATATAATTAATTGATTAATTCATCAAATTTAAAAATCAAGATACATTTAGAACATAGTAAATTAATAGAAAAATATAAATATGTGAATGGTGCAATAATTTTATATGCATTGATATGTCTTTGGTTTTAAATAGAATTAAGTCTGTGTGTAAATAAACTTAAAAAAAAAACATTTAAGAGTAAAAAAATAAGAAAAATAAAATGAATCACCACAAAGTTGACAAGTGTGAAGAGAAAGAGGTGGAACTTTAACGGAAAGCAAAGTAGAATTCAATCACCTCGCAGCTCTTTGTTTATGTCGTCAATTCTGGAAAACCTTCGCTAAATCTGAATAAGCCAAGAACAGAGAGAGGTAGAAAAAAATGTACGTGGATCACGCTTTCTCGATTTCCGATGAGGACATAATGATGGAGACGCCGTTCACCATGAGCAACCAGCCACCTATAAAGGAGATCGCCCTCGCCATTGCTCTTCTCTTCTTTGGAACCCTAGGCATCGTCATCGGCTCCCTCATGGCCTACAATCATGTCGGGGGCGACACCGCTCATGGTAATATTCTTTTTTCAGAATTAAATACTATTTATTCATTTTGATTTTATTTAATTTTAATTGAATATTGATGCATAGGTATGTTCTTTGCGATACTGGGATCAATCTTGTTCATTCCGGGTTTCTACTATACACGGATTGCGTATTACGCTTACAAGGGATACAAAGGCTTCTCTTTCTCTAACATACCTGCCGTATAGTTAGTTTAGCTTCATCAGCTCAAGTAGTACCTTTATGTATAGATCTTCCTTTGTACTACTTTTTGTCTCTTTCTTTCTTTTCTTTTTATTTTCTCTGATAAGTGACAACTATGCTTATTTCTATTGCTTGTGTTGCTCTAAATTAGTATATTTATTACTGCTAAGCTTCTTTCTCTTTTCTTTTTTTTTTCTTTTTTTCTTTTTTACTGAATCAAAATTTCTGCCCTGATTTTTTTTTTTTTGCCGATATGAACAACAGAAGCAAAATTGTGAAACACTCTTTTTTGCCGTTAAGCACCAATTCTCAGAGATTCAAACGAATTCATTGATTCTTATAATAAGCCATACTCCGGTGTTGTAGCTGCTAGAGCTTTGACATCCAGACACTTCATTACTCAAGTCGGCTTATCCGAAATACAAATGGATGATAATAGTTAGTTATAGACTCCATTAGGTACATTTATACTCTTGCTGAGTTGGTTATCTTTGCAATTTTTATGTGAAGTCGAGTGTAAATTGCTTCCTTAATCTTATCAGTATCGCTACCTCTAATGAATTCTTCTTTATTTAGTACTTCGCATCTGTTTTGAGTCTCCATCAGTAGAAGATTCTCTATGCATGCTAAGCATAGTTGTTGGCTTTCGGTAATTGGGTCAGTTTGTTAACTTAATTTGCCAGATTGGGCCCAAATTCTCCAAAGACGGGTCCAAAACACTTTTCTTCCCTCCCCCCACCCCCACTTATTAATAAGTTTACTTGGTTAACGTTCTGAATACCCTCTTTGTTGATGGGATTCTGTGCAAAAATTTCTTTGCTTTTAAACTCACTGGCATGATATAACTATTTGAACTGACATAAGCGTACTGATATATATTGGCCCTCTCTGAATGTGCAGAAGATCTCTCTATAGTGATTAAATACGCGCATTTTGATGAGTTAAGAAAAGAAAGTTGTATAGGTTTAAGGAGTGTTCTGCAAATGACAATTGTTGTTGGAGGCAGGTTCTTGAAATCTATCCTTTTCACTTAGCTCTTCATTTAACATACTGACAAGATGTAAGTTGTGCGGATTGCATGCTACCCCTCCCCCTTCCTCCGTATCCTTTTCTATTCTCTCTTCTCTGTGCACTCTGTGGACTACAGGTATCAGAATTATTTAAAGTTAACTCTCACTTGTAGCGTGGAGTTTGAAATTGGGTCTATAACGGGTATCATTTGCATCTTTTCCTGTTTGATAAAATGCTATGATAGCACCTGTATATATACCTCTTGTTTAAGTACATACATATCAGAGAGTTAACAAAGGCTGTTTGCACTCAGCCCCTTTTTGGGAAAGGAATTTATTTTATCATTACGTGGAATGTATCAAAGTATGACGGCAGATAGCAATAGTCAATGTATGGGATCTTAAGATTATTTCCGAAGACTGATTAGAGAGATCTCTTTAGGCGTTGTTAAGGTTATTATCTCTTGTTTTTTGTTTACTCGCATTTACATGTTGAGAAATGGATATAATTCCATTAGTTTTCCCTGCTGAAAGTAGCTCTCTGCTGCATCTTGCATTATTCCGTTGAATATAATTCATGGCAGTGCTAAACGAGTTAATTCTGTCGAACAATCCTGCATATGTTCCGAAATTTCTGTCTTTTTAAGTATGGTGTATCAAATTCAAATATTCAATTCAAAGAAAGTTTTGTGTTAACTATATAAAAAATGGCGAATTGCAGACCCATATAAATTGGTAGTGGTAGTGCGATTTTTGTAGCCAGTGTGATGATATATAATATCCACCATATCTTTCCTTTTCTATGACCATACTGATTATTATAGCTACACCTCAATAAAAGTCTACACCTCTGTCTTTTTCTCTATTTTAGGTGTTGATTAGCATATATATCGATTCAGAATGACATTATCAAACACCAGACATATATACGTGCAATAGTGAGAAGATAATTACTACCTACCTACGAACTGATAGTTAAGGCTAGTAATTCCCAGCACTATATCTCAAGTCGTATATCTCCATGTTTTTTTTTATCAACGTTAGGACATAGAACCAATGATTTAAAATTTTAATTAGTTAAATTGTAAAAATATTAGTTCATAATTTAATGGTTATATGCGATTGAATTATTAGCGATGTATTATTTTATTATCGTATTAAATTTATCAAGAAAAGAATCAGTTATATTGTATTTAATTTATAAAGACTTTTTCTTAATAAAATAAATTTTTATTTTGTTTTTTATTTGTTTGTCTAATAAGTAGCTTTCTACTCTCTTTTTTTAAAGTACTTAAAACAAATTTTATTACTTTTAATTAAGTATTGTTTTTATAACTGAGTTTGTAAAAATGATTTGGCCATTTATAAGACCTGTGTAATTTACCGTCGAAGTAGTAAATTGATTAATTGAGTTTGATTTTTACTTTTATGAATATACAACTGAAAATGTTAACATTTAAAACTGTGTTTGATTTGTGGGCCGTTTAACATCAATTCACCATTTTTTTTTTCAATCTCATGTTTAATCACATAGTAATTGTAAGCAAACACATTTTGAAAACCATTCAACACTTGATCAGTGGGTATTTCGCACTTTTTAACGTATATTGAAGAATGGTTATGCTAACAAGAAGACGAAATATTTTTATCAAAATATACAAAAGGATATTTAATTTGTGGAACATTTGAAGTTCAAACACTAAGTCTTTTTAATAATGCAGGAACCGAAACTAGACAAATTTGACATGTAGTTCATCATATATACTCAATTAAATAAAATTAATTTAATACATAAATGTTGTATGATGAGTGTGTAAAGAGGTAAAGTTGTCAACCTTAAAATATGTCTGGAATTAATTTTGTAGAAGTTTATTTATTTTTTTGTAAATTAATTTTTAGAATTAATTAATTAATATATTCTAAAAATTTTTGCTAACGTAATTTTAATATTTGTAGAAACTAATCTATAATATATTAAATCTTCATTTTTTTTAAGGTTATCGTTTCAAATGTTTCAATACATCTTTAAAAACATTGACATTTTTAAAAATCTTAATTACCTAGCATTTAAAAGATGTTTTTTCATTGGAACAAAGAGAATATTTTTGAAAATAATAGAAAAACCATTAATATTAATTTTTAATATTTTGTCAGTTTTCACTTATATTTTGTTTAAATGAATGAAAGAGTAAGTGAAATTTGTACTTATTTCCATCCATTTAAGTGAATTTGAGGAAAGGAGTGGATGAATAATTTTTCTGTAGTGAAGAGAGAAGCGAGAAAGAAGTTAATCTCTTCTACTTTTTGGAACGAAGAATTATTCTTGTGGTCACTATTGAATTAAAAAATTATCCTGCAGAGAATCCATTCCCGGATATCACTATAGAATTAATTTTCCCTAAACCCAAAACCAATTATCAGTCACCTTTATTGAAGGAGAATAAATTTGCGGTGACCACTACAAAATGAGAATTTATTTATTTATCGGCTCTTGAAAGAAAATAGCCTCGCGGATTTGTTTACTGGGAGATAGTCAAATATTCTGTTTAATAATAATAGAGAATTAATTTATTATTATTATTATTAAAATAAAAATCACTTTTCACGTTTAATAATAATAATAATATTTATAATAATAAATATATAACTAATAATTATTTTTATATCAAGAATAACATTATTAATAATTGTTTTAATAATAAAAATATGATTATAATAATAAAATAATAATAATAAATTATTTAATAATTAAAATAAAAATTATTTAAATAATTATAATGTTTTAAATAATAATAATAATAATAATAATTTTATAAATATATATATATATATATATATATATATATATATATTTAATATTTTAATGTAAATAACCTTATTTTCACTTTGTAAGCTCTCGTGTCTATCTTTTTTCACTCCATCTCTAATCCAACGGCTAAAAAAGAAGTTAAAAAGTAATGAACGTCCCTGTCCGGTGAGAAGAATGGAGAAGAAGAAAGGAAGAGTTAAGAGAAAGAGGAAGGAAAAACCCTCGGCGCGTGAAAATCACCGTCCTCGTTCCTCAGACGCCGATGCCATTTTTGCTCTGTTACTCGCATCACTCTCAAACAGTCCCAACTCTGTTATCTTCATCAACAAATGCTTATTCAAACTTCGCCGTTCTCTTCTTTTCTCGCAAACCTCGGTGACGTCCATTCTGGCGTTGCTCCCAACCCTACTCCGCTCTACGCGTTCCGAAATCGCCTGCCGCGCGGCAGACATCATCGGTGTCGCCTCGCTCGTTTCCTTCGATGCCAACGAGCAAATCGCTTCCGATTCTGAAACCGTCAAGGGACTAATCTCGCTGTTGCACTGTCGCAACAGAAAGGTTCTGTTATCTGCCTGCAATGCCGTTTTGGACTTTTCCACTACTACCTTCGCTCAACGACAATTGCTCAAATTTTCTGCTTTGAACAAATTGATGTAAGCATTTACGCCTTGTCGCTTTACGTTTCTAAAGTTTATTGATTTGAGTATGTGATGGATGACTGAACAATTGAATTGACATTACTTAGGTTTGTGTTTCTTCAGATTTTCAAGGGTTTGGAATATGTTTGTTTGTGGTCTGAGGGTGATGGAAGTTTTCGCTCTCTTAAGATTGGGTTTAAGGAAGATAAACTGTCGTTGGTTTTTCTCACGGCTACTGTTGTTCTTATCAATGCCTGTGAAGTTGAGCAGCTACGGAGTATCCCACAAAGTCTTTCTGAAGCATTTCTGAGAATTTTGAAACAGATAAGGGTGAGAGTGAGTGATCAAGAGGTGATCAAAAGTGCTGGGAAATGGAGTGAAGAAGGGCATTTTTGTAAAAGCAGCGTTGCAGTTAGAAATCTTGCGGAATGCATCTTTAGGCTTTCCATTAATGCTTCTCAACTTATTGGCTCCTTGTCCTTTGAAGTGGTTCAAGGAGGTCTTTTTGGTGCGAGTGATACTAGTTTTAAACATTTTATATCCAATTACTGGGAGGTTTCGCCTTTTCTGCTAACGAAAACCATGAGGGATCCAGATATGCATGATATGTTTGGTGAATTTGTTCAGTCTTTGAACTGGAAAGGGAGCGTTCCTGCCATTCTTTCCTCAACTCTTCAAGGACTCGTGGCTTGTTTCCCTATTGCCTCAGATGAACATAACATTGTCCATTTTCTGAATGAGGCGAAAGATGAACTTGGTTGTCCTATAATCTACCAGCAGGATATACGTGTTGTCAAAACAGAGAGCCAATCAGGAAAAGAGATGCATTACTTTCGGGACTTTAATTCAGGCTACGTTAAGGAACCTCTGTATTTTACTTTTCATGAGATCTTAAAATGCGAGCAAGCATATAACGAGGGCTATACTGTTGCCCTGCGCGGTCTGGAGTTTCGCTTTCAGAGCATTGCAGCTATTGCAGATGCATTAGCACTTATGTTTGGTCAACCTTCAGTTGGTGCTAACTTGTACTTAACACCCCCTAATTCTCAGGGTTTGGCATGTCACTTTGATGATCACTGTGTATTTGTATGCCAGATTTTTGGCTCCAAGCATTGGACTGTATATTCTCCACCCAGTCAGCTTTTACCTCGCTTATATGATAATTTACTTGGTTCTGATATTGACTGTAAAAAAGCTGGTAAAAGTGAGTTCTCTCTCATGGAAGGTGATGTATTATATATTCCCAGAGGTTTTCCTCACGAAGCTTATACAAAATCTGATGTTGGTGACGGTTCTCCTGGGTTCTCATTGCACCTTACCATTAGTATTGAGGTTGAACCTCCTTTCGAGTAAGTAAAGGTTAACTTTAACGAACTTTTTATTGGTTCAAATACAGTATGCTTTGTTATAAAGCTTCCCTTGTTCATTTGCAGTTACAACTTTATTAATTTTATTGTGGCCCTCTATATTATTTAATTTTTTCTTTTTCTTTCTGTTCTTTGTCTCTATTATTTAACATTGTGGTTGTAAATTCTATTAATTGTTTTTTTCTGCATGTTATGAAATTGACAATATTTGACTCGATGATGATGGTCAGATGTTATGTGGTAAGGTGATAGAACTCTCGACTAATAATAAGGAATATCTCTCTATGAGAACGACACAAGTTCCAGATATTTCGAAAGGTCTGCTCCACTCCTTGCTACTTTCTAATTCTCAAAAGTCTCCCAACAGTATCCCATTGAACCAACCCCTTTTATGGTAACAGATTTACAGTTAATAACAGAAAACTACCCTTAAGTGGGCCCACCCAGCTGTGGCCCAACTACTTCCTCCTAAAAAATACACTTAAACAGGTCTGCTATCAATACTCCCCCTCAAAGTTTTCACCTTGTCCTAAAGGGGAAATGAGGGAAAACTGTTCTGGATGGCTGCAACTTGTTCCCATGAATCCTCACAAGAAGGAAGATGCTCCCAATGAATGAGGACTTCTGCTGCTGCTTGATCTCCATACCTAATAGCTAAAACTTGTACTGGTTGGGATTGTAACTCCCATTACTCTGTTAGTACTTGTGGTAGAGGTTGTGGCAATGATGTTGCTGCCAGTGCGTCTTCAATAGGCACACTTGGAAAACAGGATGGATGCGCCCCTGCTCCTAACTCTAGCTTGTATGTAACTGAATCAATTTTTTGGAGGATTTTGTAGTGGCCGTAATAACGTCAAGATACCTATCACCAACACTGAATTCTACTTCCTTTCTTTTCTTGTCTACATAACACTTCATCCTTTGTTGAGCTTGATCCAGGTTTTGTTTAAGTTGTTGTAGTATATTATCTCTTTCATTTTGAAGTCTAATAGCATCTTCTACCTTAGAGGGAAAAGTATCTCCTTTAGATAATACCAGAGGGATGCAACGATATAGAATTTGAAAAGGATATATTTTTGCTGAACTATGGTATGAGGTATGACCACTTCAGTTTGGGGTCAGTTTGGCGGTCGTATGCAGTACTTTACTTGAGTTTTGTGCCTGCCCTGCCTGTCTGAAATTCTGCACAAAAATGACTAAGGAAGATCTGGTCTTAATCAGGGACGAGAGTTGTTGGAAACTCATGTAGTTTAACAACTCCTTAGATAATTATGTGAGCCACATCCTTGGCTGAAAAAGGATGTTGCTAGGAGAAAATATGTGCACACTTGAGAACCTATCTACCACCACAAGAATAGTATCCTTTCCCTTGGGAAGGCTGGTAATGAAATCCGTTGGAATATCACACCAAACCTGTGTGGGAATTGGTAATGGGGATAAAAGGCCAGCAGGAGATAAAGTTTTGTATTTATTTCTTTGGCAAATGTCACATCTCTGAATAAAATCCCGTATGTCCTTCTATTCATCTGGGTTGTAAATGAGAATATCATCAAAGAAAACCAAAGCAAATTTCCTAAAAAATGGTCTCGACACCTCATTCATGAGGGATTGAATAATAGAATGTGCATTCTTAAGGCCACAAGGCATCACTAAGAACTTGTGGTGTCCTTCGTGTTTTATATGGCATAGACTTTTTCACACCTATGCCATAGTTGCATGATGGCACATGCATTACTTGTAAGTAAAACAGAACTTTAAAGCATATATTTACAATAACAAATAAGCTATTGGTACTCAGACAGTTATATTTATGTATTGGTTAAATCTCAGCCTCTCAGGATGTAGAGTGCAAGTATGCAAAATCAAGTTGTATAGAACTTTGATTTGTCTAGTCCACCATTCTATGTGATCCTATGGTGGCTAAAGCATTCATTTAAATGTAAGGACTGTAAATTAAAAGAAAAGGAAAATAACTCACAAGTCACAAATTTAACCGTAGAGTCTGAAATTTAAATAAAGGAAAAATTATTTTGGAAAGAATAATGGATAAAACCTAAGAGAATAGTTTAGCAAAAACATCTGCTGTTGAAGATATTTGTGTGGGCCTTTTTGTTAATAAATTAGGTGGTCTCCAGCTAGCTTTTCAAGCACTTATGTGCATCCACAGGCAGGAGGCCTATTCCCGTAGTTAGTGGTTGGATCAAGTGGCCCATGACCAATGTGTATCTTCAGTGAATGGAAAACAAACACATGGTCAGTGTATGACAGTAAAAATGAGGATGATGTTGCCGAGGATTCGGAATCTCATGGATGGCTTTGAATTCGTTTTCAAAGTACTATTTTTCAAAATAGAAAAAAAAAAATTACACCAAAAATAGGATATGGAAAACATGGAGTTAATCCTTCCAAATTTTTTGCTGCATCTTTAGACATTTCTTTTATGTCTATAGTAATTTCCTCTATATGGTGTGATTTTCTATTTCTTTTTTCTCTGGCTACTTCAATTGTTCAATGTATTTTTTTTTTTTGTACAATTAGACTGTTGTGGCTACAATTGAGCTTAGTTCAATTCAATGTATTATGATATAGCAAAATCCTGTGTATTGACATTTTAGAGTCTACTAGGTTTGATGCTAGAAATAAAATGGCTCACTTGCAATCTCCCATGCCCATGGATGAAGCTCATCTTTGTACTGTCAAATACAATGTGTGTATGTATTCTGTGAATACACGAATACAGTTAATTGATGTTTTTAATGCTTAGAGTGACCAAATTATATGATACAAGTTGTTTCAATAGTACTATTTTTCAAAATAGAAAAAAAAAATTACACTAAAAATAGGATATGGAAAACATGGAGTTAATCCTTCCAAATTTATTGCTGCATCTTTAGACATTTCTTTTATGTCTATGGTAATTTCCTCTCTATGGTGTGATTTTCTATTTCTTTTTTCTCTGGCTACTTCAATTGTTCAATGTATTTTTATTTTTTTTTTGTACAATTAGACTGATGTGGCTACAATTGAGCTTAGTTCAATTCAATGTATTATGATATAGCAAAATCCTGTGTATTGACATTTTAGAGTCTACTAGGTTTGATGCTAGAAATAAAATGGCTCACTTGCAATCTCGCATGCCCATGGATGAAGCTCATCTTTGTACTGTCAAATACAATGTGTGTATGTATTCTGTGAATACACGAATACAGTTAATTGATGTTTTTAATGCTTAGAGTGACCAAATTATATGATACAAGTTGTTTCAATAGTACTATTTTTCAAAATAGAAAAAAAAAATTACACTAAAAATAGGATATGGAAAACATGGAGTTAATCCTTCCAAATTTATTGCTGCATCTTTAGACATTTCTTTTATGTCTATGGTAATTTCCTCTCTATGGTGTGATTTTCTATTTCTTTTTTCTCTGGCTACTTCAATTGTTCAATGTATTTTTTTTTTTTTTTTTGTACAATTAGACTGTTGTGGCTACAATTGAGCTTAGTTCAATTCAATGTATTATGATATAGCAAAAATCCTGTGTATTGACATTTTAGAGTCTACTAGGTTTGATGCTAGAAATAAAATGGCTCACTTGCAATCTCCCATGCCCATGGATGAAGCTCATCTTTGTACTGTCAAATACAATGTGTGTATGTATTCTGTGAATACACGAATGCAGTTAATTGATGTTTTTAATGCTTAGAGTGACCAAATTATATGATACAAGTTGTTTCAATAGTACTTCATAATATCATTTTCATTTCTTTTTGCTCTTTTTCAATGGGAAATTAGAAGTTGTGTTCTTCCGAAAAGAAAAATATCTACATTACAACTACACAGTTAACAGTCCTGGTTCACCTTTGTTGGCAAACATGCTTGTTTTCAGAAACTCCGAATCAATAAACCGTTATGATAGTTGTTACATCTTGATGTTGTCATTCCCGTCTCCTCAAATCTGGTCCATTTTTTGACTAAATGGAACTAGTAGGCCATTCAGTCGGATAACAACAGTGATAAGCATGGGCCTACATTCGTGAGGAGGGTCAGTTACTCCTCGTTAAATAATTATTTTTCTAGTTTTAATTAAATCTGCAATAAAAAGATTACAGATATTAACTATTTATTCTATTTGTGTTTCTAAATAAATTTTGTTGTTTTGATCCTGACCGTATGTTTGATTGGTTGATTATCAAATAGCCACAGGACAACCTATTGAATATTGATCGAACCACTAAGTCTGCAAGAGTTTGGTCTGTTGTAACATCACAAAATATTGCTTGCAGCAACATCATCTAACACCGCTTGTTCCTTAGCAATTAATTCTCATGTTTTCCATTGATGGCAAGAATTATGAATACCTTTTCTTTTTCATTTTCTTTATTAGTTATTTTGTTCCTTCAAGTTGAAGGTGTATATTGCTCTATATTGACTGATTAAAAATTATTTGATAGATGTTGTTTCTGAAGCAGAAGACTGAAGCAATGCATGTGGAATGACCCACACTAAAATCAATTATTAAAATTAGACAAGTCCGCAGGACATATGGGCAGGCTTTTAGACACATGTCTTTGGAAAGCTGGTTCATGGACCATTTTTTCTAGTATTTTATGTAATAATGATGTCTGTGTCAATTATTACTCTATTGATAAGGATGAGTATAAAACTTTTCAACCTTTCATCTTCTGGTTGGTCTGTCCTCAATCCCACATGGAGATTGAAAGCTGGGATTTACTATGTTTGGTTGATGAGAGATTTGTTATAACATCATTTCTTTTATTTGGGAAGATCATTTAATCATTAGGTCTTCCATTAACTCATGATTTTTTTCCAATTTTATTTCAAAATTCCATTTCCTTTGATTGTCTATGATTGCTGGATTGTAGGTTATATTTGGGGTCCATATTGATATTTACTTAGGAATGAGTGAGGTGATTGAAGAGACTATAAGCACTTTGGATTACAATACTGTGCAATTCTCAGAGAACTGCAGAGTGGTCCAAACCCTGATTTTAGCATTCAATTCTATGATTAAAAAAATAATAAGTAACTCGATTTGATAAATATTGAGTTAAATGAGAGCTGTTCTATGCAGTTATTTTAGAGGCCTTGAAATTTTTCTTCCACAGGACTCTGCACTCTGTTAATGATGCAAACTGCATCAGTACAAATGAAAGATTGTTCTTGCTACTTTAGAGTTCAAAATATTGCAGCCATGAGTAAAAGCTTGTTATCTTTGATGGTCTAAATATCTTAGTTAACTCATTATTTGCTTTTGTCATGAAACACAGGTGGGGAGGAGTAGCTCATTTTGCACTTCACCGCTGGAGTGAAAACCAGAAAAGACTGTTTCGTGACGACTCAAATTTTTTGTCCCAAACACTTGTTCTAGTGTCTGTTAATCTGTTACATGTTGCCATTGGTTTGATTAGCGATTTTGATCCTAGCTTTAGGAAAGCATGCTTGACTGCTGCAGTTTCCTTGCCGCCAGATGTTTATGATAGTCTTTTTCAGGGTCAGAGAAACACTTTTTTGTACTTAATTGATAAAATTCGTACTGAATCTATATTCATGGAAGTAATGAGTAGCATAGAGGTTGCACTTCAGAAAAATGAAGATCCATTCCAGCGAATCCAATGGCTTTGGGTTCTTTGTTTGGAAAAAGAAGCCAGCAGTGAATACAACATCGATAAATCTTTCATGATTGAAGATCTATATTCTCTGTATGCCCAACACAAGGATAAATTACAAGCTACTTTTTTGAAGGTTAAGTCAAGGTTTTGTAGTGAGGTGGTATTTGAAGAAGTTGTAACTAGTCACAGCATGCTGCTTCGGAAATATAGAAATACCAGAAAGCAATATATTAATGGAATGGTTTCACTCCATGATAAATTATAATGCTGATGTTTTATTGTGTTTAATTTTTATTACTTCAGCGTAAAATGTATGATATCATTTTCATCTAGTGGAATGGTCGATATTAAAATGCATGTGTCGTAGCAACTTTTGTAAGCTGTTCTCTCCCACACAAGCAGTTCATTTATATATTGATAAGAACCAAAACAAAATACATATATGAATATCTTTTGATGCAAAACGCAAGTTGCAGCCTATGGTTTGGGATGTTTAGGAGTTGGATGAGTTGTTACTCCATGGTAATCTATATGATAGACAAGATCACGGGGACCGTAACTGTTGCCGGTATAATCTGGTATCATGGAATCTTCGTTTGCTGGGGTACTTTCTGTTGCCTTATCAGCTTCCTGCATTGTATACTGCTAGATGCCAGGAATGAGTAGAAACAACGAGAAAACAAATGCATGATCATATTTTTTAGTGATAGTACAGGGGAAAGTGGAAAAAACTTGTGTATGAAAGTTTTGGTTTATGCTCTGTAGGAATGTGTGGCCTCTTATTTACTGACATCTGGAATTAGTTAGGGGCATAACGTACCTGGGTTTTGTGATCATGGAGAGGGGCTGGCATGCTCAACTTGCGTATTGCCGTAGCATCTAGAGAGTAGCCTGTGTGTTGGGAGAGGGAATATAAAGAGAATATGAGAAGGCAGCATAGAAGGAAGATTGAAGAACCCATCATGTAATCAATCTTAAAAATGAAAATAAGGTTTGCGGACAAGTTGTTGGTCACTTAGAACATTATATATAGAAGAGCATGGAAGTGCATGTATTGTCAGAAGAAGGAAGTGATGGGGGGAGAGAGAAAGTGTTTTCAATTATTGATCAAGGAGACGAGGAAACATGTTTAAACCTACGTGCCCACGGTTCTAGTGCCTATGTTGGACTACCCTCACTCACTCTCTCTCTCTCCTTCTCTCTGTTCTTCCTACTCCTTCTCTCTCATCGTATGAAAATAGTGAAAGAGGCCTATTCTCTTCCTTTGGCTGTTTTATTTTTTTGACGAAGAGCAACTCTCTTCCTCAGTGAAGAAAGAAAAGATGTTTAGTTCACGTGTATGTCTCATGCCAAATGAAACCACACTGCAACATCATCAACTCATGTTTTGTCCTCAACAATAAAGATTGGTTGTGATATGTCATCCTTTGGCCGCTATCTTTCTATGATATCTCACCCTTTCTCAATATCTTGCAGATTTTGTAGCCATCCTAAGACACTTGTTGGTTGCAGTAATTTAGTCAAGGCGTATCCTATCAACTCTGAATCTCCTATCCTCTCGTCTCCTTCTTGTTGTACATGGACCAACCTAATCCACCCACATCTTTGTTGCAACATGACTGTCTTCGTTTTTTTGGGTTTATCGCTTGAAGCTAGTGGACCATTTCACCTAAGGTACATTTTTCACTTCGACTCGCATGCCCCTTCAACCATATATCTAAACTTCATTGAAAATCAATGTTACAAATATTTTTGCATGAAAGTCATGTACAGACTTCTCCCTCCATTTCCGTCAAACTAATGACTTTTTCATTTTATTTTCTTTCTTTTTAAATTACAAATAGCCAATAGATACATGTCTATTCGTGCAAATTCATACAATGATTGTTGTACTAAAGTTGTTTTGAACTGAGTTTCATCTCATTTTCAGGAGGATTGAGTGTCCAGTGACCAACAATACCCATTCTAATCTCGGTGACTAATTGTAGAAACGAATATTTTGCTTTAGTCATTCTTTTAGTTTCATTAAAACAAATGTAAGTCAAAAACCAAATTAACCCAAAAGGTCAAGCAAATGAATGAACTTTGTCCTTTAGAAAGCGTTCACACATCACTAATTTAAACAAATAATGCATAACCTTTATTATGTATCTAAAGATTGAGCTGTGTTTTGTCATGAGAGTTTATGTCTAGGTTCCATTTGAACACAGAAAGCGACTGGGGTTGAGAGTCACATCTCCATTGGTGTTTGTTTCAACATGAACCAAGGACATATATGGAAACACTTCCCATAGTTTGATGAATAAAATAAAGTCTGAACCAAGAGAGCGGAACAAGTGCATGGAGACACACTTTTCCAATTAATCAAATTCCATGATTTTTCTTCTTTTTCCCCAGAGTGATTTAACCCACAACCTATGAAACTTATGGCTTTGCAAGCCAATGTTATAAGTGAAAGTTGAAACATGGAGACATGAGTTGTACAATTTGGGTCTACACCACATGGACCAAATTAAGAGTGTGTTACCTAACGTGAAATGAGTACTCAAACATCACCTACTTTATAACACCATTAGTATATTTATAGCAATGACAATAATTGTTTAGTGAGTACTGTAAACTAACACGGATAGTCATTTAACTTTTTCATCGCCTTAGTGAAATGAGGCTCAAATTGAATAACATCTGCCTTTGAAAGCAAAGTACAAAATTTATATGTTTCAAACATAGTATTATTTGACAGAAATATTGCTATAAATATAATTTACAGCGTCTTCAATCATCCTGCTCTTGGACTATGGGAAAGGAGTAAGGGGTTAAAATCACTGACATATTGTCGGCTTTTACATTGTGCCCCAGTCTATTGACTCACTAGCTATGTCATTGCTGAGATATTTTAATATTCCACTAGTTGATGACACTGTAAAACTGTAAAAGTATAATTTTTTCACAGTATTTGACTCTGACGTACTCGTATTTCGCTGCACCCTTCTACTTTCAATATCTACTAGACAACCATTGTTTCTTTCTTCTTTGTCTCGATTGAATAAAATTGAAGAACTCTTAGTTTTAAAGTTTGATACGATTAGTTTAATAGAATCAGTTTTAAGCTGTTAAACATAGTTCAAATACATGCTGAAATCGATTTCCAATACGACAAGACGTACAACATGTGCTTGTTAATATTTTTACGACAAGAAATTATTCAGTAATTTAAGATTATTATTGTGTCGAGAAGCTATATGACACATGTTATTAATTCTAAAGATGATAAATGATAAGAGTTTATCGGACAAATTAAGCTTAATTATAATTACGAAAAATCTTGGATGTTGAAGAAAGTTTACCAACTAAAACGTATACACCGATATAAATAATGCTGTTTTTAAGGTATACATTGTTTACACTCTTTATTACATATTTATTATTTTATCTAAAATTCTGGTGATTCAAGGGTCAAAATATATTTACGGAGATTTTATCTTCTTTATCCAATCGGGAAAGGTATCTACCTCAGAAGTGAAAAATTAATCAAATATTTTCAAGATATTTATGAAAAGGTAGAAATTTTATCAATCTTATAAGAACAATTATATATTTATGTTTTGAATCAGTTTGTAAGTAAATATATGTTAAAAAAAATCACAATAATCAGATGATGTATTCCAACAAATAATTTATTAGGATATTTTAATAATAACTTACAAATAAATTATATTTATAGTTATAGGTGTAAATATATAAATATAAAATATATAAATACAAATATATTTATATATTTATCTATTTGATATAATTTTCTTAATCTAATATAATTGGGATTATAATCCGTATATAATTTATCTATTAACAATAATTATGTAAATAATGAATAATTACTTTTAGATGGTATTACTTATGGATAATAATTTCATAAGTAATAGAGGATAACATTACCTACAGAAAGTAATTTTGTAGATAACGGATAATATTCACGAATAATATTATCTACGGACATTAATTTTGTAGATAATAAATAATTATCTATGAATATAATTCCATAGATAATGAATAATTTATATATGAATAAATTCCGTAAGTAATATTTATATGTAATATACATTTTACTTACGAAATTTTTATCCGTAAATATATTTTGTAGATAATATTTGTTTTGTAGTGTTTTAAATAAAATAAACTAGTTTTTAATTTATTGTTCACACTAATCACAAATTATGAAATGTGACTGTGAAATTTGAAAAGGTTGGCATTGGGAGATGCATATTTAAATGGGTAACGATGAAAGAACAAGTTTTGATGAGTTAGGCAGCAGTGGCACAATCTCTCCTCCCATTCAAACATAATAGTTGTATCATAATACACTCTATGATTTTCTTTCAATTTGGTGCAGAATTAGGAAATAATAAAACAACTTGCATGGAGTGGCCTAAATTTTCATCCAACTATAAAAATGGAAAAATATTGTATCACAATCACCTGTTCATTTAGGTTAACTCCATTCAATTTTATTTTATTTCTCTATTCATCAAAACCTCCAACTCATTTACCAGCTCTCATGTCACCACCCAAAGTGATGAGGAGATACAATTTTAAAACTGTTTTCACGAATAATAATAATAATAATAACATTATTGCGTGTCAGACTTATCTGCATTTTGTTATCTACTATTTTTATACAATGATTATAAAAAGACTTCAATATGTTTTTAAGTCTCTTAACAACGTATACTGAAGTGTTAATCAGAAAATTTTACGAGAAGTGAATATATATAAAAATACTTAGGACTTTATTATTTGTTGTTTTTAAAAACATTTTCATTCTTTAGTTTTTTTTTTAAACTAAAAAACTTTTTTTATAATTGTTTGGCTGAAATAATTTTTATTTTTTAATTTTTAAAAATTACAAAACAAATATGATAAAAAATATTTATATTTTAATTTTCTATTTTCACCCATAGATATCAACGCTTTCATTTCATCTATAATTATATTAAATTACTTATTTTTATTATTATAAAACTTCATCATAAATTTTATTAAATTATTATCAAAATTATTTTTTAATCTTTGCTACAATTTTTGGTAGTCATATATGTCATTTCTTTCATTTAAAATAGTTTTTAAAAATAATTGTCAAACATTTTTTTTGACTTATTTTAAAAAATAATTTTTAAAATGAAAATTATTTTAAAATTTGTTTAGAAAAAAATTGTGATTTTTATATACACGCGGTGTCATAATAATTATTTTAAGATATTTTTATTTTATTTTTTTAAATAAAATTCTTTAAAATATTTTTTTTAATAATTTATTTTAAAGTATAATTTGAATAAAGTTTTATCATAAAATATTAATATAAAGAAAACTAATCTTCATAAAATAGTAATTTAAATAAGTTATAATACAAAATATAAATTTAAATAATATTAATATTTTTTTAAATAATTCTAATTTCATAAATTTATATAAAAATATAATTCTATAAATTTAAATTATAAATAAATCTTCATAGTTAATATATTTTTTAATAAATTTATTTTAATAACTTTATTCTAAAAACAAATTAAATAAAAATGATTAATGGATAACATTAATATTATAATATTCATATTAGTGCACATAATTAAAATATCTGTACAACTCATTAATATCTATTTAAAATATTGATTTGATATTCATAATGAATTTTATATGCAAGGATGAGTTTATTTATGATTTATGGGAGTGATGTGAGTGATTCTAGTTGACTAATATATTTATATTCTAGTTCTTTATAAATTAGTGAACCAATTCAATTAACACAAATTTACTCGCGATGATGTATAATAAAAATAGATTAGGTAAACCTCAACTCATATGACAAGTCAAAATTTTTATAACTTAACTTGTTATGGTACAAATTGATGAGGTAGATAATTTTTAATTATTTTTTAATTTTTAAAATCATTAAAATAGAAAGATTAAATGAATTGACTTGTTAAAATATATAATTGTTCATAAGTTTATATATATTAAAGAATAAAAGAAAAATATATGAATATATGACCAATTCACTAAAATTTGTTGCCTTTGCCTTGGGCTTGGGTAACTCTCCTTAATCTTCATCATTTAATATTCCTCACTTCACTTCACTTCTTAATACCAACAATTTATACTGCACATGCTACAATTAATCACCTATCACAATTCCCACTCATTAATGCTCCCACGTGTAAATCAATTTAATTATTCTCAATTATTTCACTCTCTATTTTTTCTAACAACTTGCATACTTTCACTTTCTCCTTAAATTCATTTCTTCTCAATTTTAAATATATTTATTTATCATCAATTTCAATTTACTTGTTTTTATATATATTATCAAATTTAGTCTTATAATGTTATTCATATGTTCCAAATTTTAATTATATCAAAATAAACATCTGGTTAAAAGGTAAATAAACATCTTCATAAAAAGTTGATTTTACAAGCATCATCCCGTTGACGTTTAAGAAAATAAAATTGTTTTTTTATTGAATAAATAACTTTAATATTTTTTAGGTAATAAACATTTTTTCATAAAAAAACTTTTCTATTTATAAAATCAACATTCAGAACTAATTTTTAAAAAAGTTGTCAACAAAATTACTATTTTTTGCAAGTCATCCTAGTGAATAACTAATTATTTTTCTATTTTATCTTCTATCATAAAATATTTCCTAAATGCTATAATTTTTTAATAGTTTTAAAAATTAAGAAAAATAATCAGATAAATGGATTAAGTTAAATCTAAACTTTAAATTTGACTGGTTTAATAAATGAATTATGTTTTGACAACTATTTAATCAACTTGTTTACACTTACATGCAATTTTATCACAAGCAACAAGTATCTTATGCACTCTATGGGTACAAGTAAAGTGTAAACAGGTGTTATAAAATAAATAAAAGGATATTTCATTAGTAATAATAAAGATATAAAAAATAATATATTTTTATTTAATAATTACTATAATCACTAAAAATTGTTTTAATATTGACTTGATTTTATTGTTATAAATAATATCAATTGAAGTATTTTTTTTAATATTGGTTAAATAAGTAACTAGATGCATGAAATTTCCACATGCTTTCATTTAGTTAATTATATATATATATATATATATACTAAATTAATTATGGTATAAAAATATGTATTATATAAAATTATAAATATTTAATTTTATATAATATAAAACAAATATATATGATGTTAGATAATATTTTATATTATAAAAATAGTTAATTATCATGTAATTTATATTGTAAGTAAAAATATCTTTAATATTACTAGTTAAATTTAAATTTGGTAAAATTTAAATTTAGTAAGTTAAAATATATATCATTGAAAATAAATATTTAAAATTTTTTAGATATTTTTAGAATTTTTTTATATTTTAATATTAAGTATCATAAAACATTAAAATAACTAGTTAATACAAATAATATGCATAATAATATATTATTATAATAAATAAAATTAATAAAAAGTTATTTACTTAAAAAAATATAAAAACTAAAGATTAAATTATAATTTTTATATTATAAAGTGAATACGAGATAGAAGAATATGTAAATGAAAAAGTGATAGAAAAATAGGAATATAAAAATTTTAAAAATAAATATTAAAGTTGAAGTGAACTAAGTAAAAATCTGAAAGTGAAAAAAAAAGAGAGAGAAAAATATATAAATAAAAATTTGTGTAAAAAATGATATTTATTATAATTAATATTTTTTATAACTAATTAAAAATATAATAATTTATTTATTTATATTTAAAAGATAAATTTATTTGATTTTTTTTATAATTTTATATTAAAAGAATCAAATTTTTGATAGAAACGTCCTGATTCACTTTATCTATCAATAAATATATAAATATAAATATACAATACTTTACATAGAGGTGATAATATACAAGTGTACATTGTAGTTAACTTTTCCAATAATTCCTAAATTAGTAATTTTCTTAAAAAATTATCAATACTTGTATATATTATCCCCTTCCGATATAAAATTATTAAGAAAAATAAAATACTCTTAATATTTAATATAGTAATTTTACAAAATGTATTGTTTTAATAGATATAAACAAGGATATAATTGAATAAAAAGCATTACAAATATGTATTAGCTTGGATTTGTAAAATCACTAAAGTTTTGAAATAAAACTGAAAAATGTCAAAACAACTTTAATTGTGGAAGGAAAAAAAGAAGAAGATATATATAGGAATATTAGCTGTAGTACTTAACAAAAGACGTATAGAAGAAATTGATAGCGTATTTTATTGTTTTTTTTTATATAAAACATTTTTTTCCTTATTCATTTTTTATTAAATATTATAAATATATGTGAATTTTATTAATAAATGATGGAAAAAAAAATTAACATAGCGTGTACATCTGGTATGTTGGTAACATTATTTTAAAATTGTAACAAATGAAATTAATTAATTAATTTTACTGGTACGTGTGACTATGTTAGAGTATTTTATACCATTATGGAGATAAGTGAGTATTAATTTCATACCAAAAATTTAGGCCATAAACTTAATTGAATAGTAAATATCCTTTTTAAAATATGCATTAATTATGTTTTGGAAATGTGTAGTAATTTATTTAGTTTGAGTTTATGTCAACTTTCAGTTGCCACACCATTAACTCCAAATTAATGCCAACCATTTTACTGAAATGTCCCTCATAGACTAATGAATAGTGCCAAAAAATCACACATGGAACATAGGCATTAAAATCTAGAAATCCACTGAGTGGTCATTTTGTTGATTAACAATTACATACCTTGTTCTTCGTTTCTTTAGGTTTAATTTCTCAGGTTTCGTGTTTGGACCCATTTGGAACATTTTCAAGTTTGATGAATGTGAACGTTGGAACCCACCTGTGAAGACAACGCAAACCATAGGAAAGTGCTGGGAAAGATACGATGAGCTGACTGGAACAGGCTTGGAATTTGCACAAAGAAAAAAAAGAGAAATTTGTCAAATAATAGTTTATATATACTATTAAAAAAAGTTTTGGTTTCCTAATAGGGGTCACAATCCTAACACATGCTTTTACTCCTTTTCAATTTTTTTATTATTACATTTATTATAGGAGTCTTCATTAGTACCATAATTATTCTACATACACAATTTTATTTTTCTAATGAAAGCAAGTAGCCAAATAATAACTGATTGAAATTGAATTTCTATGACCAAGACCAAACCCAACAATAAAATCTGTATTAAATCCACCTCTTTCAAAAACCCAACTTTCCCATTTGACCATACTTCATCATACGACTCCAACCCCTTTTCTCTATTATTTTTCTCTCTCCCTCTCTCTCTCTCTCTGAAATGGAAGACGACGAAGCATGCATCACTGGGCTATGTTTGGGACTAGGAATGGGAGGGCATGTTCCACAGAAGGGTAAGCAGAAAGAGAACAAGCCTGTGGCGTGCCTAGACTTGGCGTTTGAGCTTTGTCCAAAAGGGGAAACCATTAACCTGAATCATGATAAGGTAGAAAGCACTGATTCTGATAACAGCAACAACAACAACAGATGCAGAAAGAAACTGAGACTTTCCAAGGAACAATCATCCATGCTTGAGAACAGCTTCAAACTGCATAGCACTCTTAACCCGGTATTCACTCTTTCTCATTCTATTGTTTATATTTTTTTGAAAACCTATGGGTGTATGTGTAGATATATATAAATTAATATCAATTCTATAATTGTTTTCGATAAACTGGCTTTATGGAAACTAATAAAATTGCACGCTACAACTTGTTAATATATACATATGACACATATACGTAACGCTATTGATTATTTTGTTGCCTACATGATCATATAATACATATTCATTTATCAGTTAATGGTGTTATTTTGTTTTCTACCACGAGGTAAGGTTTATGCGCTGGTTTTGGTTCCACATGCAGGTCCAGAAACAAGCACTAGCTGATCAATTGAATTTAAAGACAAGACAAGTTGAAGTTTGGTTCCAGAATAGAAGAGCAAGGTACGTTATCGTATATATATATATATAGTTTCAGTTTCATCTTCCTTATTGCTATACCTTTGTTTATTCTTCTTGATCAATTTGCTGTGCATTAAGTATCTGGGTTCTTTCAAAGCTCAATCTTTAGGGGGTAGAGATAAAAAGAAATAAAAGAAAACGGAGAGTTTTCAGTTTTCCACGGTTTTATTTTGTTATTTAATAAATCATTAACTGTGTTGACTATATCAACCTATGAAGTGCATTAAATTTCAGAAATGTTATTTTATGTTTAATTATTAATTAATAATGAAGTTTTGTTCAGGACCAAACTGAAGCAGACAGAAGTGGACCGTGAGTTGTTGAAGAAACACTGTCAAAATCTAAGTGATGAGAACAAAAGATTGAAGAAGGAATTGCAGGAGCTACGTGCACTTAAGGTTGGACCATCGCCTCTATGCATTCAACTAACCAAAACGGCGACTCTGACTACGTGTTCTTCGTGCGAGAAACTAGTAAAACTGAATGAAGGAAATAAGAAAATAGAGTTAGAGGGTAGAAATTGATCCATGAAAGATAATATTGGAATACCATCAATCACCTGTTGTTATACGTAACTCAAAAGCTTTCTAATCATAATTAGAATGCAAAACAGTACATACATATTATATTATTCCTTCGGTCCCCACATCGCAGACATAGGAAACTGGGGTGGCTTAGATAAGTAGTTAGTAATCAGGTGTGTCTTCTCTTATAGATTTATTCAATTTAATTATACTAATTAAATCAAAATTAATTTCTCAGTTTTTTATATACATTTTGTGTGTGTATGTGTGTTGGTACGGATAAGGAATAAGTTTTTGAATGGCTGAAATTCAAAGAGAAAACAATTCCCTAAGTCAGTCCACTAATTAGAGATTAGGGCTTAAAGTTGGAATATTAAATCTCAGCAAGATAGGATTTTGTTTTACACATGTGATCCATGACGTGAGACAAGGGTATTTTCATGCTTCACATGGCTATAGTCATTCATGCTTCACAAGAATCCACTCCACATTTACAAGAAATGTGAGTTTGAATGTCATTATAGATTATGAGATTTCATTTGAATGTATTTTGTAAATTCTGACGAATTTTCGACACGTTTCTGAATAATAACAAAAAGACGACATAGCCAAACTTATTCTTCATTGTAATCTCGAGAGGAATATTAATAATTCATTTTATTCGATAGGAAATCATTGAAGAAGGTTTTGATATATTTCTATATTATTGCTGGGAGGTCCTAATAAGGAAGTCCTACGGAAATTTCACAACAATGTTCTTGTTGACGGGTTTGTTGCTCTATACAGATAAATTACCAAGTTTTTTTACGCGTTTTAGAAACCTGGTTCAATAGAAAAAGGTTATCTTTACTAACTAAGATATCTCAAAGATCCTAATAATATTAATCTATATATATATACCTTTGAAAAACTCTATGAAGGTTTAGAGCGTGACGTGTATGGAGAAGTCATCATATACATGCATGTCACAATATTTAATAATAAGCTACGCACCAATTCTAAGTGTGTGTTTCTCTTTCGAGTCTTATAAGGTGGTTATTGAACCAACCCACAAGACAAGACACGAGTAGGTTGCAAGTCACAATAGGGCAAATTTCCATTGAGAGAAAATGCATGGAATGTGCCAAGTCATAATCCTCACATTATCCAACTAGGTGCCAATACTTGAAACCTAAAAAAAAATCATTACTAAGATAGTGCGTGCCCTTATGATAGCACTATACACAATACAATATGCAACTTGGTTTTGGAGAAACTTTAGGGCATCCTTGAAGGGATGGCAGATTATTACCCCCACCTTTCATATAGAAATGTATCTTCTTCAAACACTGGTTTTGGCTTCACAATCCAATGCAGGTCGCATGAATATTCATAAAAAATATTTGTAGTGAGTAAGGTATTTTTCCATTAAATAGGTCTAACTTTAAGTACACGTTTTCTCATTAAATTTTGTAGACATGGGAATACCACTTATATATATATATACTATCCAACGTTATCAGTACAACTTGCTTAATACTTCTGGATAAGAAATATAAACTTCTTTTTAGATATATTAATTGTTAGTTTTATTTTACTGTAAAATTTATTCGCAAAATATCATTCCTAATTTTTTTTATAACGTTTATTATGGAATTATATATGTTGAACTCTTAAACACTATTCTAAAACATTAGTTCTTTTTAAATAAATATGAAAAAAAAAAGATATCTACAGATATAGATTAGCGTTTGACTTATTCTAAAAATAAGTTTAAACAAAGAAAAACTGTATTTATCTACGAAAAGGTTTCATAATTACCAAGTTGACAAAGCATATTTGGTTTCAACTTCCAACCATTAAACTACTATGTCACACTAATGACTCAAAGAAAGTCATATATAAGCCATCATTAATTAATTTTGATTATGAATTCAAATTAAATAAAAATATTAATATATTTAGATTACTAGTTAAAAAATTAATATTTTCATAGAAAAGTGGTGCAAACACATCTTTCCACTATTTGTAATTTTTATTCTGATTTTATTAAAATAATATTTATTATAATTTTAGTTCTTTATTATTATTATTATCTTTATTATTATTATTATTATTAGTATTATTATTATTATTATTAATACTATCAAAATTTAATTTTTATTCTTCTTGCTGTAATTTTGATTCGCTTTAATTTTAATTCTTCAATTTTTATCTATATATTAATTTGACATTCAATATTCAACAAAACTGATAGTATTACACTTTATCCCATAAACTAAAATCACATGAAATAGTTGGAGAACAAAATGTGATTTTTTTTATAAATAAAACTAAAATTTATTTTCACAATAATAAAGAAATAACTAAATCAGAATTCCACCCACTTCTTTACCCACTTTAAAAGAAAACAATCGTATTATTAAATATATAAATGTAATTATTTACATTAAAACTATTTGTTAATTAAGTCAAGAAACAGAAATTATATGAAAGTGATTTTTGCTCAATTTCACCCATATATATATTTTTAACAAAAAAATATACTTACCATTATCCATACTAAAACGTTTTATTGGTTATTTGTTTTTTTTAAGGGTTATTATTAGGTGTTTAAACTAGTGAAAAGTATAGAGTAAGTGAAGAAGTTATGGTTAATTTATGAGAAATCCAATAACTAGAATTTTGATAACATTTTAATTATATATTTGACTAAAAAGCTAGCAAGTCAACATCTTTGCCAATTGAAGAGATGAAGTGGTTCTTTGTAAACTTATTTTGATATGCTTGAAAACGAATTTGTACATGATTTCTTCTGTCAATTAATTCATTTTTTTTATGACTTTAATTCTAAACATTGTTATTTCATATCATAATGCATGAAAATAGTACATACTCAATGATTGAAATACAAAAAAAATTACTCACTTTGTTATTAAACAAATAGATTTTGGAAACAATAATTTGATTTGACGAAAACGTTGAACAAGAATTCCCGTACAATACGATGTCTAACATGATACTAAATACGTCAATTTTGCATCATAAACATAATTACGTGGGTCCCCTTTTTTCATGGTGCAAGATTTCAGAATTCTTATATTATATCTTGCCACTTAAGCAAACTCTCTACTTAATCAACACTTTTTTTTTCCTTGTACATTAAATTTGACTTTTGTTGTTCATGCTTTATCGATTAATTTATGAAATTGAATTTGAATACGAATGAAAAGTTTTCATTTTGAGATTTACTTTTTTGACATACTTTTTGGGGGGAGAAAGAAGGAAGAAAGCATAAACAATGATGTTGGTCAGATCAATCATTTGTCATCCCTTTCATCAGCCTCCACCAACTCCATTTCATAGCAGTGAGATTTGGCCGCAGTGGTGTGAAAAGAGTCGTTGCTTCATGGAAATTGAATTACAAAATAAATAATGAATCGTACAATATAATCTGGAAGGTTTTCCTTGTTGAATAGCTCAGCTAATCAAACTTAACCCTTTGAATTGGACTTTGAAGTTATGTATATAATATAGAGAAGGAAGGGTAACCCTAATTTCTGTGTTCATTCAAATTACAGAAAAATATTGGCAAGTGCGAAAGGTCAAGAGTGTGAAAACAAGACAAAGAATGAAAAAGTGATGGGATCATAATTGAGATTTGAGTCATCACCATGCCCCACCCAATTTTGGCTACTTTCTCCTCCTTGCACCGCCACATACGTAATTCAGATAACCCTCCATATATGCCAATGCAAATTAGATTAATTACATTATTGTTCATGTAATATTGATACAATTATAAATTCACTATCAGAAACTTCTGAATTGATATTCTCGCTATTCTTCATCATCTAATATGTCAGTGTTAATTTGTGTGGTACTTAATTTAGTTCTCCGAGATCGTCCAGCAAAATGGTCAATTGGGTATGAAAAAGATATAATTTTTTTTTACTTTTATTTCAGCAACCTTCATGCACAAATGAAACAAGTACATTAATCAATATAATAAATAATTTAACAATTAATGAAATAAAGTTAATTAAAAAATAATAGTTATTTTTCTAATCTCCAATTTACCAAGAACTTTACCCTTGGATAAATAAAAAATTGACTGATAGATACATGATAATTATTAGTCATCTGAATGATGAACAAAATTAAGAGCGGTGATTAATTTATATAAAAAAAGTACTAAATATCTACAGTGAAAAGTCAATGTTATAGTAATGATTGTAAGAAACTGAAAAAAACTAAATATGTGGTTAATACAAAGTGTAAGAAATGGGATGACACACGTTTCCTATCATATGGGAATTTAATAGAGACTCCATGCTCTTATTTATCGTCTAATATACACTTTCTATATATATTATTATACTTTTTCCAAAACAATATTTTAAAGGAGTGATTTGTATAGAACCGTAAACACAAAAAAGTACAATGTAATTTTTATTTTTTCAAACTTGATTGTAAATGAAGAATGATTTAAGGAACTGAGTTGTTAATTTATCCAATAATTTTATATAAATAATTTATTCTATCAATATCCATAGAGCTTAATCAACTTATTCAGTTAATATATGTTTCAAAATGTAAGATTTGTAATATTATCACGTAGATTAGTAAATATTGTTTTCAAGTTAATTAAAGATATTAAGTTTTAAATTATAAATTATCTTTCAAATCTAACATCTAAAATATTTTTATTAGAAAATATAATAAAAAAAGATTGTGAGTTTTCAAAATCTATTGAATTAAACTCTGTTTTATACTTAAAAAAAAGTATACTTACGAAGATATTTTAATACATTAAGTATATATATATAGCAAGAAAATCACCTATCTCTTAAAAAATAGTTTAATTTTTAAAAAATTATCTATACTATTTTAAATAATAATTTATATTTATTTAATATATTTAATATAATATTATATATAAACGAGTAAAGAGTAACGAGTTACATTAATGGTGTAATATAAGTATAATATACGTTTAAAATATGAAAAATATCTCAATCAAATATAATAAATATAATAAAATCATAAATAAGTAGATATAATAAAAATTAATTTAAAAGATACATCTCAATTATATTCAACAGTTTAAAGCTCTCTGTTGAAATTCAACTTTATGTAACTCCACAAATTGGACTATAAACCTGTAGCCCATAAGTTGTTATCCACAAATTGGGCCCAGATGAGGGCATTTCTATTCTTACGCTCCATGATTTAATTAAAATTCCTATTCTATACTCATCCCTCACCCTACTACCACCTCCTCAACCCCACTTTCATGTATACTTTTATCTCACCTAATTTTTTTAGTTTTTTTTTTTGGTTACTGATACAATGGAAACCAGTTTTTTGGTTATAGCAACATACACGAGAGAAATGTATTTTCTATACAATAATTTATGTTCTTGTTGGATATCTCAATAAAATTGTCAAAATGTATATCGAAAACGTGATTTTGTCAAGAATGATTTTCAAAAAAAAAATAAAAGTTTTAGTGTGACAATAGAGAAAGAAGATTTGAGAATAAGAATGGAAACTTTATGACTATCGAATAACAGTCCAGTAGGTAGTCCATATCATTATTTCTGTGCTTTAACAAAATATTATAATTTCTATGAATCAAATGATTGTTGGTGTAACAAATTTACACTCTTAATTAATAAAAAAAATACTTGTGAAATAATTATTCTAAAATTCAACAAATTGATAGTATCTAAAAACATTACAATTGAATGACAATATATTTTTAAAAAATTATGATAATATATAAATTATTTACTTTAAAAGAAAATGACAAAGTGTATAACTCAATATAATAAAAAATATATGGCAGCTGGAAATGTCTCAATAAGCATGGATGTAAACTTAACTTGCATTTCTTAGTCTTAAAATTAATCTACTATTCTTTTCAATGATTATGTACCTCTTCAGCTCATTTAATTTATGAATCAAACTCAACAAAGAATAATCAGAGATTTAGTCTTAAACTTAATTTGACATTAGTTGTATTCATTACCAACGCTAACCAGGCCTTATCTGTATTACATTCCTAACTTTAGAATCATGATTGAATTTGAAGATAGTAAAATTAACAATACTGTTTCCCATGTTCAGTTGACTATATGTACTAAAGTACACCGTTAATTAATACACGAGAGATAATCTCACAACAACTCTTGCAGATTTAGCAATGAACAATTAACATCACTAATTTTTAAACTAACTTCTTACTTGATTATGTGCAATAAAGTACAGTCTTCCATGTTATCCTAATAACTAACTCATGATAGTACCCAAAGTGATATTTACCACGGGGCAACACGTTCCACTGTTTCCAATAACCTCCTTTATGTGAGCCAAGGTCAGAAGTTCTGTTTTTTCTTGTTTCCCCCCTTCTTTGCCGCACAAAAAGTAAACTCCTTGAAATAAGAATGATGTAAGTCAATGCCTTGATTTTGTTTGTTGAAAAACGAGAGTGGCATAAATTAACTCATTCCATGCATCAGGGACCCCAGGAAGACACCAATGGCTGCAATCTTGCTTCCTTGTAGAGACTTTCTTTCCGCCCATTGTGTTCTTGCCATAGACAGATGGGTGACCATCCTTCCGAAAATTAGTCAGCTTTGTTACATTTAACAACTTTACTGGAAACTTCATCCCCTGGATGACTTCCTCTACTATCTTCATTTTCAAAGGATAGTTGTTCAGGATGGAACCATTAAAAACTGGTTCAGTTTCACCATTGCATGACCCACCTGAGTCCCAGTCCCCACCCCTGCCAAATATTCATTAGCAATGTTGTATGGTTGAAAATAGTGGAAAGCAAAGGGGCTAAGGATTTTGTGTCCGGAAATATATATGAAAGAAAAGAAATCAATACCTGAAATGGGCATTAGAATATCCACGATAGTAGACAATCTGTTTACGTGGATTGATATTATGATCGATCCATTTTGCCCAGGTATTTATAGCCTTTCTGTAAGCCTCAACTGCATCAAATTTTGGATATAGGTAATCACCTTCTTTATAGTAATTTATCCTGCAGAAATCAGACACTGTTACTTGTTTTGCTAGATTTTGAAAAATGATTATGATCATTGTTCCTTTCTATGAAGAAAGACAAACCAACTAGCAACCGGTTGCTTGAATAAAACCTAATTTAAGAAAAAAGGGAAAAACAAAAAAGTGACAAATTAAATTTGATATAAGTGTTCAAGTTTTCTTAATACATAACTTTTGATACTATAATACACACTAATTTTTCATGTTGTCAAGACAAACTTAAAACAATACTTCAGCATTCTTGTGCAGCAAATGCTAGGATGAATCCTTTCATTAGTTAACCAAGCAAGAGTTCAATAAACGTGGGGGAGGAAAAACAAACACACAAAGTTTCCAAAAATTGATTGTATAATCTCAATGTATAGATCAATCAAAATATGAAATTAAAATAATTGCATCCTAACCCTCGCGCAGTTTTTCCATGAGTCCACCAGTGTCCAGTATTGAAGACAAGAATATCAGCCTTCTTCCAACGACCAGATGTCTTGTCAATCCGATCTATTGACAATGTAGGATTTGAGTTCCCTTGCCCATTAAGACGAATTCCTTCCTTCACAAGGAAATGAGATCTCACAAATACCACTGAGCAATCATAGTCCTGCCCAAGTATTCCAAAATCTTAGCAAAACGCTCTGCAGTATGTCCATACACATTTTCTTGATACAGCAAAATAAAAAAGTTCAGCTGCCTGATCATTTTGTATATTTTACATAATAATACAAATACTTTACTTCATACGAAGTAATGAAGGTTTAACTTTCAAAGATAGTTGAATTCATTTTTTTGGAGAGGAAAAGAAACTACAGCATCAGCTGGATTTATAGTTATGAACAATTTTGATTAAAGTCAACCGGACCTTGAAGAGACAAGTTTACTAAGAAATTGAGTAGACAAAAAAAAATATGAGAAAACAATATAAAAGCAGGTCATACATATTATTAGTGCCTAGAAGTTAGAAGAAACTACATATGCTAGATAAATTTTTACCTCAAATTTAAAAACAAAGTAGCCTCTTCCTTTTGTTATTTTGTGTCCGTGTATCTCATACATTCTGCTCTTATTATGCAGTCCTTCACGTAGTACGCATAGAATGGACTCAAATTGGTTCCGGTTCATAGAATCTCCAACCAGCATCAGTCTTTTACCTCTCAGTCTTACCAAGAAGTCCGTCGCATTAAACCTTCAAGTAGTATTGGAATGAAATGAATGAAACAGATATGAATAGTTAATTTTTCAGTGAACTACTAAAAAATGCAAAGCAAAGGATAGCTGTTCAAAAACACTTTAGTAACTATATGTAATTAACTGTTACATCACGCTATAGTGCATGAGATGCCTTTTGTGAACAGAAAATCAAAAGTTGAACATCTTATGAGAAAATAGTCAAGCCGTCTGAAGGACCACCAATAACAACAGCAGGTGGCTAGCGTTCAGCTATATCACAGAATACAGAGAGAGAAGCTAAAAGTAATTCAGTTCCTAGTACATTATGTCATACAAAACAGGATTCAGCATTTCCACTTCTAAAAAATAGAAACAGAACAGCTCTTTGAATGACCATCAGATAATAGTTTTTAAAGGGAAATGTGGACATAACTAACATCAAAGCATACCACTACCAGCTAAGCTTCAATGGAATTTGAGATTGTATAAGTATGCATGTTGATTTATAAGTCGAGTAATACATTAACAGCTCAAGTATATACATTGACAGGGTGTAAAAGAGATAGTCAGAAGTTACAAATTGGGAAAGGAGACAAATAAAAGTTGCAATGGCTAATATACATTATAAGATTATAAAAAGAACAGGATGCGCATATTTGTAAATTGTATGTCAAATTGAGTTTCGACACACCGCCAAGTGAAAAAATGTTTGAACCGTTTTACAAATGTTCCCACAATCATTTCCACAAAAAATACAGATCCCATTACCTGAAATATTGCTACCAGAAATCATGTTGTTAGAGGAACCAAACTAATTAGATAAACATTATTTTCAATTGTCACTGGTATGGTTACATTACAATTTCTAGAGCCCTTCAATCTGATCTGAATTAGCTTAAAAACAAAAATCAGAGCTGAAAATTCATTGTCTCCCAATCACTTAGGATAGTCTGACACATTAAAACTGTATGCTCGACAATTATTTACTCTCATTGAGATATTTTGAATTGAAAAAGTTGTTGAACTCAAGCTGATCCCCCATGAGAAAATCCATATCAAGTTTATGCGAATAGAAGCAGATTTACTCAAACTCTCTGAAGTTTTTCATAAATATATACAGTCCTCATAATTCAATACATTAACACAATCATTCTGAGACCTACCTCCATCTACTATGATCCTCATCAGAGTAAGAGGAGGCATGCAGTGCAACAGGCAACTGCAATTTTGTCATGTCAAAGGTAGCGGCATTGTATCCACTTGCATTAATATTTCACATGACAAGAGATTTCGTATCTGTCACTTTCCATAAATATTCACATTTTTGTATGAAACTCCAGATATGCAATATCTATGAAAACAGAGATAGATACAAAATTTTCACGCTATTTAATGATTTATTTTATGAAACTCCACATATGGAATATCATGTCAAGAGGATTCATTCTCCACAAGTGGCTATAATAAATTAAAGAACAAAAGAGCAACCAAACACAAAAGCATCGGAAATTGGCAAAAGAAGAAGCAGCTAGAGTTTGTACGTGACCCTAAAATGAAGCAAAAAATACTTGAAACCTATTATGCAACAAGAGTAGAAAAAATGAAAATGCAACAGAGAGAGTACCTGGGAAGATCACATGCATCAGGCTTCCAGCGCCATTTGGTGTATAGAGTGTCGGTTCTTCCGTTAACTTTGCAGTCGTAGGCCTCGTCCACGTAAGGGCAAGAACCTGGTTGGTAAATTGGGTAATTATCATCCCTCACCCACGTTCCCGTGAACAAATCGCACTCCTTCTTATTCAATGCCGCATTGTCGGCAACAGTTTCCGTTACCTCCGTCACCTCCGTAACTGGTTGGGCATCAGATTCGGCGTCGGTGACATCGAAAGTGTGAGCGACGGGCAGAATTTGAGCGGTCGCAGGGGAGGAGTGTGGGAGCGGAGGAGGAGGAGGAGGAGAAGGAGGAGGAGGGGAACGAGGTTGGATGCGGAGGTAGAGATCTGAGTGGATGAAGGGAGCGGTGTGAAGTGTTGTTCTGGTGGAGAAGAAGAAGATGATGGAGATGAGGAACAATGCGAGGAAGAAGAGGGTGGCTACAGTGTAAGGCTTCTTCTGGGGAACCATCATCTTCCTTCACTCTCAAACATACCAACACCTTCCAACAACATACATACACAATCCTTCCGTTCTCTTTCCCAAATTCGCCATTGGAGAACACAAATTTTACATTCACTTACATATATTTACAGAAATTTTTCTTTTCATCTAAGAATAGATTCAGGACGCGCAATTGTGGATATAGTTTAAAGCTAAAAACAACAAATTTTACTTTCTCTATTTTGATCTTCTATCAATGTCTTCAAAACTATTAAAAAAAAAAAACAGGATCAAATGTAAATGTCACAGAAATTATATTTAAACTTAAAAGAACTATTTATTCAAAACTAATTAAAAATGAAAGCAATTGAAATTTAAAAACATCAAAAAGGTTGAATAATTACATTAAAAAAATATGTATAAATGAAAATTATCAAAATTGTAGATAAAGTTTCAGGTTTAATTGAATTTAAGGGGGTTTGTTAAGGTGATGATGTGTGTAAACATTGTCAGAGATTAAATTAAACTTCATTTTTATAAACCTTATCTGTGGGAAAGGAAGACACTATTTTTGTAATTGGATAACCATGACATTTACTTACAATTGAATTGTGTTTTTTTTATCATACGCCACTCCTACATTATTTCTAAAAAAAAAACTAATTATACAGATAATAAATTAATTTTAATATTTTTATGTATTTTTTATATATAAATAAATATTTATAATTTATAATTATTATTAATTAAATATATATTTTAATTTATTATATTTATATTAAAAAAAAAATATATATATATATATAAAAGAAATATTTAATTATTTTATTTTTATACATATATAAAATACTTAAATTATTATTATTATTATTTAAATATTTGATTTCATATATAAATTATCTTTTTTTATAAATTGTCATTTAAAAATATAAAATATATAATTTATAAGAAAATATTTAATAAATTAATTTTTATTTTATTAGGTTAAAATAATAAAAGTTTAAATTATAATTTTTTAAAATTATTTAAAATACAATTATTTTATTAAGATAAAATTTAATAAATGTCAAATAAGAATAATAAGATCGAAAAAATTATGACATAATAAAACCTAATAAAGATAAATTATAAATAAAATAATAATAGTTTATATTAAGATTTATGTAAAATATTTAGAAAAAGACAAGGAAGAAGATAAATTAATTTTGTATTTATCAAATTAGTTAAAAAGATTGAAAAAAAACAAATTAATTGGAGAGATTAAGAAAATGTGAAGAAGTGAAATGTAAGAAAAAGAAAATAATGTAATCAACTAACTTATATAAAAGACAAAACATTAAAAAATAGGTAGAAGACAAATAAAGATAGGAAAATATAAAAAAAAATCTTATGTATAATAGAAAAAGAAAAGAAAATATTTTTAAAATATTAATATTTTAAAATTTAAATTTAAATATAAAGTTAGAAGCGAGATCGAGATGAGATCGTGATAGAAATTATAGTTCTTGTCCCTTAATTAACTTGATTTTTTTCGTTAAACTTGGAGTGGGAGAGATGGATTCCGTGGATACGAATTTAATTCTCATTTTCATGTTTTTTTTTTTCAGGTGGGCATTCTATTTCTTACCTCGTAATTCAGTTTAAAACTGAAAAACAAGAACATAATGGTTTTGTTAAGGTTTCTTCTATTAAAATATATTGATATAGTGATTGGTTGAAATTAATTTATGATCCTGTTAGACAAGCATTGACCACAAATTCTTTTATTTCAAATCTATAATTTTTCGAGTGGATTTAAATATGTTTTTAGATACTATTAGTTATATATATATATACATAAAATTTATAACTATTATTTTTAAATTTTATAAAATGCATGAATTTTGGTATTATTTTTTAAAATATACTTTTTAAATTTTATTTCTATAGATTTAAAATAATTATTTATAATATCTAAGATTAATTTAAAGATAGATAAATAATATTTTTTATTTTACTTATTGTATCTCAACACCACAATATAACGAGCGTAGTTCAAAAGGTATGTAAATGAATCGATAAAAAATATAACTTCTTTAATTTAATTAATTTAAAAAAAATACAATTTTATTTAATAAAAACATAATAATTATATTCAACATTTTTATTTAACTAAAGTACAATAATGTATATTCTTTTCCCATCAAGTTATGTGTTTCTTCATTTAAGTTCTTTTTCCTGCCTTTTTAGCTTAAAATAGTGGATAGTCAATTTAGACACAACAGCCGTACAAGGAATACACAATTGAATACTTATAATAGGAAGTTTATTTCTTGATTTGTTTGAGGAATTATGTTTCATGTTGACTATACTTATAATTATTTTGTGTATGTTGTTCAGGACAAATGGATAAGATTTTGTTTTAAACTAACAACACGAGTGCATGTAATGTGCAAGTAACTCTATAATATTATTTCTTGTGAAAATTTGATCGATTTCAATTAAATCGAGACTTAGGTTCTAACCAAATTTTAACAACATTGATTCTTTTTATTTAGGCTAGCAAACGGTTTTCAATCGAAAATGCATGAGAATGTAAACAACGTAAATTAGTATGCAAATCGAAAGTACTATTTTTTGTATTTTTATTAAGAAACGCGAAATAAAGAAAGCAGTAAATTTGTTGAATCGAAAAACGGTGCAGAATATTAAATTGCAGAGAAACGTAAAATGCGGAAACCTCAAATTTGCATTAAGTGTAAATGACAAGGAATCGAAAATTGCAGAATCGTAAATAAGCAGGAAATCGCAATTTGCAGAAGTGTAAGTGACGAGGGACTTAAACGTATAACATTAACTTGCGTAAAAGTAAAGGAACTAGGAATTGAAAGGACAGAAACTTAAAGTTGACAAAACGTAAGTTGCATGAAAGTAAATTATCAGGGAAAGTAAAGAAAGCGATAAAGGCAGTCAATAAAATTGGAAATCCAAATCGCCATAAACTTCATGATTTCGTCGTTTTTCGGTAGACTTTTTCACTAATGTTTCAGTTCTCTCTGCCAATTTCCCCTTCTTCCTCAAGTTTTGCTCTATTTATAGGGCACCCTTCAGATAACCTCCTAAGAGCAGTTAACAAAACTGCCACCACGACCCACCATGCACGTTTCTCAGTTCCACGGTTTAAAAATTGTATTTCACGTTCCCATGCATGAGATAACCGTTCCCTTGACCTTCGATCTCTGCCACGGTTTAGAAACCGCTTCCCATGTTCTATGTGCGCGTTAACTGTTCCTCTTTTTCTAACTTAGCCAGAATTTCGATGGCCGTGCATGTTAACTTTTCCCTCGATTTCGATTTCAAAATCTCAAGAACTTTGCATTGCTTTTTTTACTTTAACCTTATCATTACATGATTCTAATTCCTCGATTTTCTTCAACAATAGACATTAAATATTCCTCCTTCGATTCTCGATTTATGTGTCCATACTGTTACATGGTCATCGAATGTTTTCCAACCATCTTTTCACTTTATCAGTTTTTTTAAACAATCATATGATCCTTGATTTTTTCTTTCCTTCGTTTTTCGATCCCTTTATCGATTTCCTACTAACAAAATGCCCCCTTGGAAGAATATAAATATTAATTTTTATTTTATATTCTTACAAAATGATTCCCGCTTTCAAACGTTTAGGAGGCTCTAAAATAACTTTTAGGGTTTAGGGTTTCTGGGGTTTTTCTAGGGTTTCTTTGCTTTATGTCACATATCAAATCACTCTGTTGTCACACTGCACACGCCGCATTAATTACCCTTCGCCTCCATTGCTTCCAATACCCTAGTTGGTTTCTTTTAAACGTTTATTAGCCTTTTTACCCTTGTTTTTTACCACGAACTTAACTCACTTCTCCTTTGCACTTTCGTCTTCTACCTTTCGTCTTCATCTGCTCTACCGACTGTAATGACAATCTCATCCAAATCCTCTGATTTCTCTACCCCACCACTTCCCTCGGTGACCTCTAACCTGCTAGAGATTAATGGGAAGAAGTTTGCGTCGGTCCCTTTGATGGAAGAGGCTTCTCAAAAAATGGCTGAGACACAGGTACTCATTCCTTACATTGCTGATAATGTAAATTACGCTTTCGGAGGTCCTATCCGCTATTGTGGCGGATCGTTTTCTTCTTCTCTTAGCCTACCTTCAGAGAGTAAGATTCTTATCCATCAGCCTGAGGTTCGAATAGATTTTCTGCAAATCGTGTCTAAAGTATATTGAACGGGTCCTCCTCACAAAAAACCTTTGTACATCAGATGGTTTGATCAAGTTAAAGCTAAATTTGGGAACCATTGGAGGGCTGTAGGGATTTTCGATTTCCTGCATTTGTCTCAGTGTGATCTATCTTTTTTGGATATGTCCATGTTTTTATCCGCCGTTCATTTATGGAATAAGGACTTACATGCATTGGAACTTCCATGTGGCCCCTTTTCGCCCACCCTTTTCGAAATTGCTACTATTACTAGATTAAAGCCCACGGGGGAGAAATACTATAAGGGGGCTTTTCCTTCGGATAACTCTTTAAGGTCGAAAATCGATTGGGAATCGAAGGCCTATGGGCATTTTCTTGAAAAGCACTTCGTCGATGATCAATCAGTAGTTGTGACTGATGAGGAGCATATAGCATTTCTGGTGTATTGGTTATGTACCCATGTCTTTTGCCCCCGATCTATCCAAATTTCATCTCACCTCTATAACCTTGCCTATCTTCTCCATACTGGCCAACCACGAATTAATTTAGCGAAGTTATTATTGACCCATGTTTATACTTCTTTCGATGAAGTTGTCGATATTTTGAACACCCCTAGGGCCTCGGGGAATTTTTCAGGTCCTATTTGGTTTATTCAATTATGGTTCACCTCGATTTTTGAAAGCATCCTCCCCCCAACCTCAAAAATCCCCGCAAGTTTGAATTTAGAGGGTGCTCGATTATCTTCTCGATATCCCCACTACAAACCTGACGAGGCTAGTTACCGAAATTACCTACAATTTTTGTTGACCC